GCGTACTAAAGTTGTACTACAAAGTCGCCAGTTCTCAGCTCCCAGCTCCACAGATTGCTCCGCGTACTAAAGTTGTACTAGAAAGTCGCCAGTTCTCAGCTTCCAGCTCCCCAGCTACTCTGCGTACTAAAGTTGTACTACAAAGTCGCCAGTTCTTAGCTTCCAGCTCCACAGATTGCTTTCGCGCGCTCGACACGCACGATCTCCGCAGAGGGTTGCGCGCACAGCCGGCAAATCGCACTCTCGCCTGTATTTCGCGCACTCGACACGCACGATCTCCGCAGAGGGTTGCGCGCACAGCCGGCAAATCGCACTCTCGCCTGCATTTCGCGCACTCGACACGCACGATCTCCGCAGAGGGTTGCGCGCGCAGCCGGCAAATCGCACTCTCGCCTGCATTTCGCGCACTCGACACGCACAATCTCCGCAGAGGGTTGCGCGCGGACCGGACAAATCGCACTCTCGCCTGCATTTCGCGCACTCGACACGCACGATCTCCGCAGAGGGTTGCGCGCACACCCGGCAAATCGCACTCTCGCCTGCATTTCGCGCACTCGACACGCACGATCTCCGCAGAGGGTTGCGCGCGGACCGGACAAATCGCACTCTCGCCTGCATTTCGCGCACTCGACACGCACGATCTCCGCAGAGGGTTGCACTTTGGGTTGACGCTGTTCGTCCCGCACTCCGCCTTTAAGAGAGAATTTATAAAGTGGGGAAATGTTTTTTCATTAGGATATCTCCCGTGCTAGTTTTCCATACTCACACTTGCCTGCTCATTGCATGCTTGCATACTCACCCTTGCATATCATTGCATACTCACCCTTGCATATCATGCTTGCATACTTACACTTGCACACCCTTGCATATCATTGCATACTCACCCTTGCACTTGGATGCTTTCGCTCTTCCAGTGTGTGTGTAAGTGTGGAAGTGTCAGTGTGTAAGTGTAAGTGTCGAAGTGTCAGTGTTCAAGGGATTTTCCGGAAGAACCCTTCGCAATGCTTTCGGGAAAAAACATGTAAGAAATTTGTATTCGCATGTCCGTTTTTCTGGAAGCATGCTCAATCCCCTGTAGGTGTTTTTTTACACAACCTCATGTGACCTCCTTCATTCGCGAGGTATGAGGGTGGCTACCGCTGCTGCGAGCACGGCGTTTTCCTGACCGAGGGCCCTCATCCGGCTGGGCCCCTGCAGCAGAGCCTGGGCAAAAGAAAGCGATGCGCGCGGTGTCGCTGATAGAGAGAAATCGGGTCCATTTTGCATATTGTTGCATCATTTGTCCATATTTTTCCGATATTCATTCAACAAACATCAACAAATCAACAAACCACATGTGACATGTGATTCGAGAAGGATTTTTCAGTTGATCCTTTCACCATTCACGTGAATTGTGTTTTTTCTTTAGAAGAACTCATTTCTCAACTGTTGCAAGGCAAATTGTCTCAACTGCTTCAAGGTGGTGAATCGGAAAGCCTGTTTCTTTGTATGTTTTTTTTTCTGCACTGCAGTAGAACATTCGGCCGCCCCCCCCTGGCCTCCGGTCCTCTTACCTTTTCATCTTCCATCAACTTAACTCGTTCACCTTCCTCCTCTCCTCGACTCGAGGATCGAAGCGAAATTCACCTTCGAGTTCTACGAGCCGGACGCACCGGAGGTGACGAATCGAGTCGAGTCGAAACCCGAGGATTCCTGGGCCGAATTTCATGGGCTACTGAAGAACTGAAGAACCATTGAAGAACCATGGTTTTACGAAAGATTTTACATTCCAAAACCAGGTCAACCACTTTTTTCATGGTCTTGGAAGTCTAGGGTACAAGTCATTGAGCAACTCCAGTCTGTGCATGTATCGGGTTAAACCAATCTACATGCGGCCCGCTCATCGTGTATACAGCGGAGTGTTCGTCACATAGCTTTTGGGTCCAAATCCCGGCACCTTCAAACCACATGGACGACCAGGAATGTCAAGGTACCATGCTGTCTTTTTTGCCGAGCCACGCTGTGAGTTCAAACCCTTGGTCGACGCCCCCGACTCCAACGACGAATGGACCGACGTATCTTCTAAATTTGCTCCTTGTGGGACACCCTTGGTGGAAGACCCTCTTCCTTCGGCTGCCAGGTGAAAACAGCTCGGCCCACCATGCAGCCCTCTTGCTGCGATGCCACTGGAGGGTATCTCTCCAACAGCTCCTACTTCGTGGCTTGACGTGGACAGCTGGATGTGGGTGGTGGGAACCACCAGCGCCGAGGGCAGCGGGCAGCGGGCAGTCCACCGGACTGCTGCTGTGTAACAGATGCTATGAACCTGTTGCCTTAAGCAGACATCCTCAGACACTCTCATTTTCTCTCGAGCTCGAGCTCGAGCATGGAGCATATCTTGTGTGTTTTGTTTTTTTGTTGGTGTTTTTGATCACTGCCATCATGCCATATCATGCCCATCATCCATCCAATCAGAGTCGACTTCGCCTTGACTTCGGGTCTCAGACCAACATCCTGCAACGTCCCGGCGATATTTAGCCTTCGCCTTCACAGAAGGCTCCATGAAATGGCGAAGCTGTAGAACTGCAACAATAAACTATATAGTTACTATAGATGATTAGGCTATAACATACTATATGACCTTATATACCAGTCAGTTATATAACAGTTGGATTGTTTAGTTTTGGGATCCACTTTTTGGGGGTTTTACCGTCTTGGTCTTCATTTTCTTTGTGACCATATGGTATGCCGGGCGCTCCCTCGCGCGGCACAGCCTCGCGCTCGCGCTCGTGGACGGACGCGCGGCTGTGAGGCCAACTTGGAGTATGACATTCCCCAGTGCAGTCGCTCGCCACGCAGCACGTGTCGGCTGTGTCAGCGTGGGGTGAAACGCACACCGAGCCTGGGACGGCGGGTATCAGCTGTGAAAAGCACTGTTGGAGCGACCGGGTATCATGTGGTGCGAAGGAATTTGAAGGATCTTAAGGAATATGATGAATATGACGGAAAAGATGAAGCGAAAATGGTTTATACGCTATACGTCGTGATTTGAGGATTTTAGCGGGTGCAACTGTGCGGCCCTCCGGAAGATTGGAGTTCCGATTTGGGAGATAGGAGTTGTTCTGGATATGGGACCACCCTTCTTCCCACGGTTAGTTGGGTAGCTGGACTTCTAGCATTTTGCGTGGACACTCCATGTTATGTAAAGTATGCCGATCCATTGACCCCCCCAAACCACTTTGGGGTGAGGCAAATAACATGGCACACATGGAGTGTTTGGCTTTGTGAACGATTTTCCTGACACGGATCCAGGTCCCGGTACTCCGCCTGAGCAGTGTGAGCACGTGATCTCCAGCGTGGAATACTTCGACGTGCCCAGCTCCAACAGCAGCGACCCCAACGAGGAGTTTCTCTGGCAAAAGAAGATGCAGGGGATGGGGGGGGTGTGGGGGTGAAACATGGTGAAACTTCTTGGAAAAAGGATGGAAAAAGGAATCGATCTACCAGCTAGTCATGTTTTCTCCGAGGTCCCGGTTCCGACCGGTGCCCGTTCGGAAGGTCTACTTGTTCGGAAGGTCTGCCGGTGAAGGATAGGGGCTGTACGAGCATCCACCATCATCCACCTCTCTACGGAGTTTGATGGGACGAAGCAAGCCACTCCATGTGACTCTATGTGAGGTTCGATGTTTAATCATCTTATACCTGAAGAGGATCTTTGACGTTCTATGTTCGTTCTATGTTCTATGTTCGTTCTATGTTCTATGTTCGTTCTAATGTTCGTTCTATATATGTTCTATATGGATCTGATTACACCATTGCGCGTCTGGAATTTCCCCTACGGCAATTTTTTGTTAGACAAGTTCACACAGAGAACGGAGCAGTGACTCGGGTCCTTCCTTGGAGTACATGACCCAGACCCAACGGACCCACCATGGGGGTCGGTTCGGTGGTCCAAAGAAATCAGAAAAGAGTTGTGGTGGAAGAGGACCCTACATTTGACCCTGAAACCATCTGAAAACGCCCCATGATGTGGCTTCATATGCTGCATTATGCTGCACTTGGAGTTTTTGGGAAGGGTTATAAGGATTCACTCTATGCTCCAGGAGTTACACCCCAAAGATCAGCATCGATCCAATAGGACTTCCAGAATACACGTTGATGCCCATGTGAAGTCCAACGCCTGCCACCGCGTGAAGTCCAATGCGCGCGCCCGCTGTACCGAGGTTTGAATTGGTCCACGCCTGGGGGCATCAACACGTGGGTGGAAATGGCTTGGCTCCTGGGCAGACCAGGGGTTGCTGTGATAGTTCTCTTCACTGATTACATCAGCTCCAGTGGCTGTGTCAAAGCTATGAGTACCAGCTGAGCATTGAGTCGAGTGTGGATCATTGTCCCAGGTCAGAAGTCATGTATGCTGCCCTGTTGTCATATGTTCTCATACCAATTCGCCACCGTGTTCCGATGTTATCGGACCCAACAGGATGCGGGATGTTTTTGTAGATCTGAACTTTGCGGCAAAACAGAACAGATCAACACTTCCGGAACGGAGATGGATGACGGATTCCAGCTGGATTCAAGCTGGATTCCCCTTAAAGGTTTTTACTTTATGACTTTGGCTTGACTGCATGTTGGTGGAGCGCCCTTTCATCCCGTCGCGGCGATCGACCGGGGTTTCACGGTAGACAACCATGTGTCCGCCGGTGTGTGTCCAATGGCGTGGCCCGGTTCACTTCAGCGCCCTCGTCGTCGCTGTTTTGGGTTTCTCGACATGGAAGGGTTCACTTCAACCAGCCACCGGGTTTTCCCTCACTTCCAGACCCTGAAGGGTGTCCCCGCGGTGCCAAACTTGGCGGGGTGGCCTCCAGCACAGCGAAAGCCCCGCCGATTCGTGTTCGAAAGGTGAGGACCCTTTTTCCGGAGAAATGGTGGGTTCGGCATGGTTTCGATCCCCAAGGAACTTTACAAGGATTCCACCGGAGAACTCTTGTGCCGGAGCCATCCGACGCTTGGGCAGCGGCTTTTTTCGGATGGGCTTCGGGCGTCGTGTGGGTCATAAGGGAGTGAGCCAGGTTTGTATGAGTGAAGTTCTAACTTGGAGACTTGATCCGCGGGGCTTTTTGATTTGGAACATCCACTTGGATGGGAGCATGGTGTGGCGTTGGAATCGGTGTGGTTCTTTTCCAGATGCTTTTTTTTTGTTTTCTTTTTTAAATGCTGTTTTTGATATGTTTTCCTTCACTGGGCTTGACTTGTTTCTCAGTTATCCGCTACCCAAACATAGCCAAACCAGGAAGGGCTGAGCCAGGCGGGTTCAGAATTCCTTCGGATTTGGACCACTGCCGCCTCCCATCATACAGTCTCAATCCGCAAGATGGAGCTGCGAAGATGAAGAATAGGCCCTAGTTCACCTTTGAAGATAGAGATGATTTTGCGGATCCGGGTGATTGAGATTCATCCCGGATTGGAGATTTTCTCCAACAAACATCAACCCACTATCCTTGTCTGGGGAAGGTATGTCTATTTGTGTATGTCTATTTGCGCTATGTGTGTCCCAACTCTTGCTGGTCCCAACTTCCGAAACGTGGCGCCAGCGTCCTGACGAGCCGTTTCTTGAGCTCGAGACGAGCGGACGGATCCACCGACCAGCGCGTCCCATCGGATCCGCTGGTCGTCGGTGGAGTGTTTGGGTGACGTCGGTCAGCCTAAGCGGCCTAGCAGTCAGACTCCATATTGATGGTTAATCCCTGAAACAGCCTGGGTGGTGACCTGGGATTGTTTGAATATTTGGGGTCCACATAATATGTGTTGACACGTGCACGTAGGTTTTTTGGGAAGCGTATGGAGTGTAATTGAAGTGGTCGTAATGAGTTGTGCTTGTTGTTTTTTGACTTGTTTTTTGTTGCTTTTGCCTTTTGCTCTTCTTTTCCTTTGTTGTTCTTGTTGTTCTTGCTGCTGTTGCTGTTTGCTGGTTGCTGGTTGCTGGTTGCTGGTTGCTGCTGCTGCTGCTGCTGCTGCTGGTGGTGGTGGTGGCGTTGTTCGAAGGGATATGAATATGTAACCAATATAGACACACCCCCTTTTTGACATGAGATTTCAACATTGCTGTACTGGTTGAATGATGAGTTTGGATGTTACTTTCATCTACGTATGAAGACAACTTGGACCGGAGACTGTGGGCATCATCGGCGACATTCCGCGGGACACCTGAGTTCTTCGACGTCGTTGATGGAACGAGGAAATATGGCACTGGAGAGCAAGCAGGAGATGAGAAGGGCTTCGTCGTTGGCTTCTTGGACGTCAGTGGGTGCCCAAAAAGCAAAATTGTAGGTGATAGCTGAGCCCTGCAACTGTTGAACAATACACAGTGTTAACACACACATTTTGCCTTTTGCGAGCTTGACTTTTGATCTATATATATATATATATCTAAAAATGTTTCAACCGGGGCTAGCCCAAAAGGCACCATCTCTTGAAATGCGTTTGCGCCGAAAAAACTCCTTAAAGGAGATCCTAGCCTACGAGGCAGAAAAGACCAACACCTCCTGATTGGGGTCTCCACATGTTTATCAGTAGTGGGAAGAGCAACTGAAGGAACACCATCTTCCAAGGCACATCATTAGATAAACTGTAATTAGGCAATGTCAGCTAAATTAGCCACAGTGTTATTTGGGGACCGTGTTTGGTAGAAGTTCTTCTTCCACAAGTGTGTGTGTGTGTGTGTGTTTCCAATTTTTGTTTGGCAAACCCAATACCTAAGCTGTTCCTGCAGCTCTACTGCCCTGTAAAGTGCCGCCCTTTCGCCCTTCGTTTGATACGTCACCGAGGTATCCCGCCCTGCGTTTGGGGCCCTCCGCCGCTGCCAGCGCCACCGCGCTTCCGCCGCCACGACCACGTGCGCACGGTGGCCAGGTACAACGACACTTGGAGCGACGGACGTGACACGGACCGATGTGACAAGCCACGCGCCACACGTGGGACCTCGTCCAGGTCGGCCACGTGCACGAGACGGGCGGGACTGGCGGTCCTGACTGCCCGGGGATCAGGGGGGGTTCATATAGGGCCGGCGTGTTGATCCCTTTCCAGTCCTGTCGTGCCGTATTGTTCCATCGGTCGAGGTGTTGGGCAAAAAAGAGAAACGATACAAACCGTGTTCTGTTTTAAAATGTTGTTTTTGGAGACCATCGACAGTTTTGGATCACATCCATACGTTTCATTGTCGTTTCTATATTTCGAATTATTGTTTTTGTCTACGGGGGGGAGGTGTCAGAAGATTGGACAAAAAAATCCCTTGGCCCATCCGGTTTCGCCAGCAAAGCGGAGCTGTAGCAGATGTAGCTGCTATCTGTCGGAGAAGTGTAGCTTTCTGTCTAAAAAATGATTCCTCATCGGGTAAAGAGTTACGAACATGTGACGAATTCAGACGTCTGGGGGATTGGTAGCAAATGTGTTTTAGCCTGACAGAATTTACAGGTTCATTTCTGCGAGCAATGGAGGCAGATGTGTCTAGCAATTTTGGCCCACTTTTTTGGACTACGAGGGAGATGTCACTTTTCATAAGAACTGATCAATTTACATGTATCCCCTTCCGACCTGGAACATATTCCCAGACACTCCATGGGACTGCCATATATGCCTACATTGGCCCCCCCAAACCACCACCCCTGGCCTGATCGGTAAATATACCATACATGGAGTGTCGGGGATCGGTATGATCTCCTGTCATGGTGATGCTGATTCACTTCCATCACGGACATGGATAGAGGGCACGGACGGACATGTTGATGAAAAACAAAGTAAGCGACCCAGGGATTCACTACTTCCAAAAAGAGGTTAAATAACCGACCTGAACAAGGACCCAGGCTGGGGTACCCAACTGGGATAGTCGAACTATATAGAGTCCTGAAAAGCACAACATAAACAACAACAACAACACCACAACTGTTTGTTGTTGTTGTTGTTGTTGTTTTCTCAATGCACCACATGCTTTGCCCAGCTCACTGAGTCGACTGAGCGTCACCACGGAGTGATGTCTTTGTGGCTCTTGACGGCTGCGCCAGTGAATTCGCCAAGCACCAGGGCAGAGGTTTTAATCTGAACGGGCAATTGGACAGAATCAATGCATTTGAAAAACATAAATAGATCAATAGATAATAGATATATATATATATATGGAGTCCGGCCAAAAGTCTATAATCAAAAAATTAGACAACGAAAGTAATTTATGATTTTATTGTTTAATTAGATTATATAATGGGCCTCTAGCTAAATACACCTACTCTGTAGTTGGGCGTTAGGTTTGCGATAGATTTGCGTTAGTATTTGACTTAGGACATGTTTAGAATGTCGTTAGGTTTTGAAAAGTGGCTGGTTAAAAAATGCGTTAGTCGTACGTTAGCATTGCATTAGATTCGCGCTAGCAAAAATTGCTAGATTTTAGCATGGACTTTTTGAAAGCTGACTTGTAATACGTCTTTCGTTGCAAACATTGCTTGAAAAAGCATAGAGATGAGATAGCAATGGAACTTCTTTAGAGAAGAAATGAAAGCGGTGTAGATGTGTTTTTAAGTCTTCGTTTAGAAGCGGGCTCTTAGCAGAATATGGTGATATAGCAAGGCAGCACTAGATTGGTGCTAGGTTTCTTCATAACAGGATAGCAAGCAGGAAAAAAATAAACAAGTAGAGAGCAGGAAACATGAGAAGCAAGACAAGAAAAAAAGAAAAGCCAAGAAGAAGAATATTAATGCATAATAAGAAGAAGATAAGCAAACAGGAAAAATAAGAATCTGACAGGATAAAGAAATCGACGGAGATTTTTGCGCTAGGCTGGCGCTAGATCCGCATTAGCACCGCGCTAGACGACGGTCCATTTCTTGACCACTTGCCCATCTAACATCTAAATCTTTTGAGTCAGCTCTTACGTCCTTCTTAATTATGTCGTTCTGAAGATTTCTGAGAACAAAAAGTGGAAACAACTGCAGGAGTCCAGCAGCAGCAACAGCTCCAGCATCTCAGAGTCCGCGCTAGACACCTCTCACAATTTTTGCAGTTCACGCGCCTTCATGTTTAACATCCCTGTGGCTTGAGTGTGGCTGAAGTTTAAAGTAGATTTAGAAGCGGGCCCCCATGGAATTGCGACGAGTGCATCATTTTGGGAAAAGACATTTTGGAAACCAACCATATATGGTTGAATATATCGAATTTATATTGTAGCAATAAAATATATGATAAGTTTTTTGTATATTTAATTTATGAATATAATATATATATATTTTTTTAATGTTTAAAAAATTGATAAATTATATATTATTTGAAATTATTATGTATTTTATATATTAAATTTGATATAATATATTTATATTATCGATTTTAAAACGATATATTTAATGAAATTAAAATATATTTATTTGGAAATATGATTTGAATATTTTTTTTAGATTATTGGAATTTGGGGTGATGTTGGAAATATTTGTATTTATATTGATATAATTATAGTTAAATTGAATAAATATATAATGAAAAAAAAATATATATTTTTTTTAGATATAATATTATATATGTAGGATAATTATTGAAAAAAATATATAATATAAATTGAAAGATTGAAGAATATAATTAATAAAATTACGAAAATGAAATTGAACGAATATACGATTAGATTGAGGAAATATGGCATTGATTAATCGTTACGTATTGGTTTAATATAATCCTTGGGCCGGTGGTTATTTATGAGCGGTGGATTTTAAATTATATTAAATTTGATGATTATATTATTGTGACGCTTGATTAGGACACTTAGCAGCTTTTAGGGTTAGACCGGGGCTAGGATTGTTGCTTCTTGGAATGAATCCTATTGAGGTGTACGGGCTTTTAATATGGTTAATGGTAATTACCAATGCTTTGAGATTAGTTGCAATTGCCGAGGCAAGTCGAGCGAATTCGCCGAGGGAGGAATTGGAGTAATTGTTTCGGTTGCTGGAGGAGTCGGGGCAATAATTGCCCTAGCCGCGATCGCTAATTCCGCCTAGAATCCGGGACCAAGGAAATTAGGGTGGTTGCGGAGATAGATTATGGTTTTGCTTTTGGATAGAAAATGGATGGGGTAGTAACAGCCGTTGTTATTGGTATAAAGTATATGCATGTCTTCCCGGCCGGGGGATAATTATTCGTGATGGGTATTAATGAGGTTGGAGTATGATCCTTTAACAATAAGCCCTCCGGATGCGCTCTCTGAGAGGAGGATTAGCCTTCTCGGGACTCCCGAAAGGGCTCTAGCGGATGCCGCTGCATCTTGTATTGAATTTGATTTGGGGTGGACCATTGTGGGGCCCCGAACGGCGAAATGGTGTTTGCATTATATGGCCATTGAAGGCCTTGGATTTGAGGGGCACCATGAGCGATTTAGAACATTGTGCAAATTGGAAAGCTCCACTTGGGGAGTTGTCGAACATTTTTAGTTGAGCATGTTCGTGAGATACCTTATATAAATTGATTGTCTCAATGTATCGAACAACTTTGGTATCGAATTCATATTTCGTCGGCTTCAGACCATAGAATTTGCCCATGGTGAGCGTGCTCGTGAGGCAGAGGCTAGGTCGGTAGGAGGAAAATTGATAATGGAGGAGTAGACCACTTTCGCGGCATCTGCCAATATATTCAATGCAAATATTGGCAGCCGATTGGACGAACCGAAATAGGTGAATGGCGAATTCATCTAGCACAACCATATCCAATGAGACTCTGCGTTGCATATGCAAAGGATTTCTACGATTACGATGTGCAAAGCATTGTTCGGAATTTCAATGATAAATTGGTGTGGCATGCGCCGGTAGATCAGAAGGCTTTTAAAGATGGGGGCCATGTTGCTTGTTAGGCTTGAAGTAAGAAAGGGCCACTTCCTGGATCAAAAAGATCCCAACGGAAGATCGAGTCAATTGCTGGCCAAAACAGGAATCCGAAGTTTGGAGTCATTGTGGGTCTTCGAACGATATTGACGTAGATTGATATAGATGATGCGTGGTCGACGTGGTCTTTCCATTTGAAGTGTCATTCCCCCCTGTGAATCCCACCCTTTTGACACTTGGGGCCACATGTTGGATCAAAAAGATCCTAACGGAAGATCGAGTCAACTCCTGGCCAAAACAGGAATCCGAGCTTTGGAGTCATTAATATTTATTATCTAAAAGATTTTTTGTATAGATATTATGGGTCTTTGGAGATTTTAATATTGCTTCGTAAATTTCATTGATTTCATAAAAATAATGATTATTATATTTCTATATCTAATTATTAATGATCGGAGAATCTAAATATTGTAAATATGAATAATTATGATTAGATTATATTAATATGAATGATTGAAATACATTTCATTAATATATTATATTTTTGTATATTTTAGATTAATATAGATTAAATTTGTTATTCTAGCCATGGCCCAATGCTTTTCTCCTTGGATATTCTATTTAGTATATTTGAAGAAATTTCATTGGACAAATATTCTTATATTCTGATTTCCATCGCTTCTATTATATTTGGCATCGGTTCTAAATTTCTAGTTTTTATATATTCTGATTTTCTATCTGGAATATATGTTGATATTCTATCTGGCGAGGTCCAGCGGAGTCTATTGTGATCTGGAATTGATCGGTCGGGAATTGATGATTGAGATTTATTGTTGAGGTCCGATAATATCGATTGCGAATTGAAATTATTGTTAATGACGATTATATTTCGATATATATATAGATATATATTTATTTAATTAAATATGTTTAATTCAATATTAATATTATTGTATCTATTTAAATATCATTGTATCTATTTAAATAAAATTCATGCAAATAATATAATATATGTTTATTTATAAATATATATATATTATAGTATATTAAGAACGATATGTATTTTATTTGCGAATATTCTATTTGTTATTTTACAATTTTCAATTATAGCTAATAAATCTAAGTTCAAGAATAAACATAATTAATATATAATAATTTTTATTTTAAAAAATAGATAATGTAGATAATATTATTCAATTATATTGCAATAAGAATCGATTAAATCCTCCCATCTATATATATAATATATAATTCGATTATTTTGTTTTCATTTTTAAATATATATATATATAATTAACATTATATATAAAATATGTAATATGTCAACAATTATATATTGTTTATGAATATTTGAATAAATATATATATTTTTCTATTTTAAATGATTTCTGTAATGATATTTCAATCAATTGTTTTTATGAAATGATTCATGAATTTTCATACCTTCGGGAATTCGCGTCGCGATGCCGCTAAAGTTTGCAATTTACATCCAAAAATGTTTTCCTGTGACCACCTGCATTGCAAAATGCCATATTTGTAGGTAATTAAATTGTTATCAAGTTATCACAGTTATCAATGTGTGTTTGTATTTGTATTTGAATGTTGTGGTTGTGTGTTTGTGTTTTCTGTGTTTGTGGTTGTGTGTTGTGGTTGTGTGTTTCTGGTTATGTGTTTGTGAATGTGGTTGCGGTTGTGTATTTGTGGTTGCGTGTTTGTGATTGTATTTGGCATTTGTGATCGTGGTTGTGTGGTTGTGTTTGTGTTTGTATTTGTGGTTGTGTCTGTGGTTGTATATTGTGTGTTTATTGATTTATTTTTGATTGTATATTGTGTGTTTGTTGTTATATTGTGTGGTTGTATTTTAGGTATTGAGGTCCGGTATTACGATTGGGAATTATAGATTGAGGCGGTTGAGGTCTATTGTGATTTGGCCTTTATTATTGCAATTCGATAATATTTATAGCGATTTAATTTGGCATTGAATCGGTAATATTCGTTAGAATTTGTTAATTGCAATTGAAATCTAATGGAAATCTTGAAGGATGATAGGAAATATCTTAATTTATTTATGCAAGAAATCGTTATTAATAATTTTGGAATTAGTATATGTTTGTTATATATAGAATTCTATAATTTAATTGAATATATTTAATATCTATATAATAATCAATATATTTCGTTATCTGTTAGGTGAGGGTTCATACATTTAATAGATATATTATTCATTATTTTTGTCTTTATTGTTTTAGTTTTATTATATCTCAATTATAGATGCCAATTATAAATCGTAATGAATATTGATAGGCTTTAATTACAAATTCCGAAGCATGGGGGATATATGTTTTTATATATTCGAAATAAAAATTATTTTAGAAAATTATAATAATAGAATAATAAAATAAATTCAATATCAAAACAATAATAATATCAACAAACGAATAACAATAATGATGATAACAATAATACAACAATTAACAATAATATCAACAATCCAACAACAGACCATCGGCACGCCAACAACAACAAAACAAACATACATTCAAATCCTTCATCAACAACAAACAATTATACAATCAATGAATGCCAACACAAACAATAACAAGAAATTATTACAAATATATATTCTTTTTTCATATAATTAAGAAAATATTTCATATTTTTAAAATCTGTTATTTAAATATCCTTGAAATCGATCATTTATAAAAAGGGATGTTCATTAAATTTTGAAATTGTTTGATTCTATTTTTGAATATTTATTGTCTTTCGTGGCTTCTGGCTTCTGTGGCTTCTGGCTTTTGTGGCTTTTGGCTTTCATGGCTTCTGTGATTTCTGTGGCTTTTGGTTTTCGTGGCTTTCGTGGCTTCTGTGTTTTTTTGGCTTTCGTGGCTTCTGTGGCTTTTGTGGTTTTTTGCTTTTTGGCCTATCCATCTATCTATTTATATATTTCTATTTATATCTATCTATATCTATCTTTCTTTCTTTATTTATTCTTTTTTGGCAATTGTTCTCCTTTCTCTTTTTGTACATATTTTTCCTGTTGTTTGCGTTGCAGAGACGAAATCAAACAAGCAAGCAAGCAAGCACGAACTGCTCACCTTTGGATCTGGTGTGCTGCTGGGGGGGACGCTGCGCCCCCCCAATCCCCCCCCGCCACGAAATCTGCATTCCATCCCCGACACCCGCGCCTGCCACGAAATCAATATTTTAAGGTGAATTCTCCGGTGCAAACATTTCTAATCAAACAAATATATCTGCTCTATCTATATATCTATCGATCCATTTATCTTTCTATCTATCTATCTCCAATGACAAAGTACTACACCTGCCACGAAATCTGCAATTAAAGGTCCACAAAATTCTGCGCCTATTACGAAATCTGCATTCCAAGGCCCACAAAGTCGTACACTTGCCACCAATTCTACATTTCCACATCCACAAAATCATGCATCTGCCAGGAAATCTGCACTTCAAGATCCACAAAGTCCTGCACCTGCCACGAAATCTGCATTCCAAGGCCCACAAAGCCCTGTACTTGCCACCAACTCTGCACTTCCACATCCACAAAATCCTGCACCTGCCACGAAACACGTATTCTTTCCCGATATTTATCTATAATAAACATTATAATATTAAATAAATCTCCGTTATATCGATCACCATAAATTGAAATTGAAACAAATCTTTTTAGAATATATAAATACTATAAAAATATCACCCATCATTTCAATCCAAAAAACAAATCTTCAAATCGATCCATATCTTGCAGAATATAATTCCTTCTATCCATTCAAAACAAAATATTCCTTTATCGCCGACCCAAAATCGCCCTTTTCTTGATTATAGATATATTTCAAATATACTAATAAATACAAAATCATAACTATCATAATACAAAATATATTATCAATATAACCTTACAATATTAGTATTCCCTCTACCTAAATATTAAAATATATATTAATTATTTAAAAAAATAGATTTTTCATTTCATATCATCTTCCAGCAATCATTTCAGATTGCCCGTGTTGAGCAGCAAGTAGCGGACCCACCTGGACACATCGGGTATATCAATATACAAATCTCGAATGAAACGAAAGGCCAAATATGCATCAGGCAAAACATTTTCAAGGGCATAGGAAGAGGCCTGCGCCAGACGAAACTAACAAGGCGACGAAGGATTATCTAAATAAGGTAAAGGTTCCGGGCCACTTCAAGATCGAAACCAAATGCCATGGATGTCAGGGCTCTGGGGATGATTCCAACCGACACCACATAGTCATGCCATTCCACGGCCAGACCTCGGGTATCACGGAAGATGGGAATTTGGATTGGGGTGCCGCGATCCCATTCTACCGAATAAATGTTCTTGATTCCTATGGCAGGGAAACGTGAGATCTGGAAATAAATCCATGGGAAATCATGCATGAAAGCGTGGACAAAAGGCTCCTGGTGATATCAATGAAAAGGAATTGTTGCAAAATAATGGATCCCTCAATTCCACATGCCAATGGCACAAAAATACAATTTACCTGCATATAGAAATAGCATGTTTTTTTTTCAAATAACCTCTATCTGAACCAATCTGCGAATTCACCATCATCCTATTGATCATGAATCGGATATTCTATAAATCAATCTGCCAAGAAACAACCTAAAAATTTATTATTATATGAACCGATATTATTCCCGACATAAATAATAAAGATATTCAAAATTTGTCGTTGCCATGGACCCCATAATGCAATATTGAAGACCTATGCAACTCCAGATTTGGATTTATAACACATTATTAATATAATATATTTATCCTATATTGACCAATTTGGAGGCCATGATTGTATTTGTTACCTAATTAATCGTTGGGAAATAATATTGGTCAAGGGCGAATATTACAAATTCGTCCATCTATTCCCCAAAAGAATGAATTAGATGATTCCATATCGTGAAAATTTCAATAGATATTAATAAAATTTAAATGATCTCAAATTTAAATCCAAACACCTCTCCAAATTTACATTAAATGCAAAACCGAAAATTTGGGAATAATCGATAATAATTGGCCAAATAAAATTATACCTTCCAGCAAGATTCGAATGAATTCCGAAATCAAACACGAGATCTTATTAGCCTTCAATATCTAAATTTGGATATCCCAAAATAAATATATCCATATCTAATTCTCAAAAAAGATGTCCCTAAATTCGGAGATTCTATGCCAAAATAATGTAAGATATCATAAATTACAATTTCATATTTTCCTACCATAAGAATCAAAAATATTTATTCGATAAAATAAAATCGCGAAATTACAATCCCAATTTCTAATTATAAAATAATATAATTCCCATAATTAAAATCATCCATAAAAATCCCATATCATATAATACGACAATACAAATTTAAAAAATTATATGTTGCATTTATCTATATCAATCAATTTCAATTTATATAAATTAAATATATATTTTTATTATATCCAATTATTGTTCCAATATATTTATAAATTTTCCAATTATTACAAAAAAATATTTTTATATCGATCAAATATATAAATACCCAATTCGATTATAATTATTAATAATATAATTATATAAAAATATATTCGTAAAAATAACCTAATAATAATTTAAATATATATATATATAATTATATATATATTTATATTATATAAATAAAATACATTAAATATAAAATCAATATATTAATATATATATTAAATTTCCTATTATATCATCATTCCCAGATATATTTACGAAATTAAATAATATCCCGTATTTTAGAAGCAATATCCAATTTGTTTGTTTAAAACAAATAATAATCTAAATTAAATAAATTATATCGATTCATCAATATCATGAAAATATAATATGCAATATTGTCCTTCAAATTCTTTTGATATATCATATATTTTTCCGTGTAAAAATATAGAGGCTTGCGGTTGCACTCGACGCTCTTGCATGAACAAAGATTCAGATCAATGTAATTGCCTAGGGTGAATTGCATGAAAACGTTGAATTGTCAAAAGTTGGATTTCTCCGAAGGGGCCGGAGAAAAGCCCGGCCACACGACTTCCATTCCTCCGAATGCAACCGTCCAGTGTCACAGTGCAGTGGGGGGCACGAGCCCTGGAGAGAACTGAGGTAGATTTTTTTGCTCAGAAGATCTAGGTCTCGAAGACCGCACGGAAGACCTCAGATCGCGAGTTAGAGAATTCTTGAAGATGAAAATGATTCAGACCCGGAGTGTGGACCCGGTGTTCTGAATGAATCTATTTCGGGAAAATGTTTGCAGAATGTGAGACCGATGTAGTCTACTAGCTCAAGCTCAAGCTCTGCAGGGTTCAACGATGAATAGGTGCCAATGCCGGATCAGCAACATGTTTTGTCTCCAACACGATCCATTCAGTAAAGCACTTCAATCAATTAGAGGAGTTTGTAGTCTTCCTGGCCATGCCATCTACTCACATGTGTCTTAACAATTGGATGGGCAAAGAGTGCTTTGATGTGTACAAATCTCGACAAGTGATTCTCATTCTATTGAGTGAAACAATTTCTATAAAAATAAATACCTCACGGATTGCGATCAATCCTGTCAACAACATTTGAACATATGGGATTCTAGTCTTTTTGCTCCTCGGAAGGAACTCTAAATCTCTCTGCGTTACCGCAAGTGTCTGTTGCGTTGAGCCTTCCAAACAGCCAAAAGATGGAAGATCTTGCATCCATGTCATGGAACTCGGTTTGAAAGAGGCAAAACGTAAAGGTCTTCGACCACTCCAAAGCTGTTTCTTGGCCTTGCTGGGGTGCCCTGGACCGACATCAAACACAGAGATTCGAACCCCCAAAAAACACCAACTTGCACGTACGTGACTACTTATCACAGAGACCTTGCCGGGTGCCTTAAGCCTGAAAAGAACACATCGGCAACTCGACTTTTCTCAAATATGGCTATGGGGGAACTAGGCACATCGGTTGACCGACCGGTTCACCTACCGGCGGTTTGGGGTCGTTCGCGGCAAATGGTGGACTGGTCGGGCTCCAGGTTTTGACCCATCCTGAAATGAACCAGCCACTTTGCAAGTTTGAAGCTCGTCAAGAATTGTGTGTGTGCTCCCAGTGAGTGGCAGATCCTACTCAAAAGCACTCGAAACTCGAGCGAACAACAAACCTGTCGACGTGTGTTTGATGCTTTTTGTTCATATAGACAATCATGAAAACATCTGTCATCTTCTGTTGCTTGCAAAGAAAGGCCACGGTTCGTTTGGGGCTTAATGTCAATATCTCTCCTCTCTCTCTCTCTCTCTTCTCGGACCAAGCACCTTCTCCACCTTGTCACCGCCGTCCATCGTGTCCAGAACATCCTTCCATTGGAGGTTGGTGTGTTAGGACTGGCCGAGACGTAGACCTCACCCATGCTTCGCCTGTCCACCAAAGAGCATCAAAGAGCCCAAACACCGTGATGTTCCTATCTTGTGTTGCACAAACCTGAATCTTGATTCAAACGAAACCAGACTTGTTCGTTTCTTTTTTCGTTGGGACATCTCACACGTCCTTCTTTGGGCAGTCCGACGGTCGCCACCCTCCGCGCCAAACACTCGACTTCGCCGACCGGCGCAAGCGTGGATTCCGCCAGTGATTCATCTTCTCGACTTCGTGTTGAGGTACGAGACACATGCAGCAGTCCAGTGGTAGAACGAGCCTTTGGTGGCTTTCACCCAACTGAACAACTATTCAGGAGGATGAATCATCCTAGCTAGAAGTCTAAGAGGGAACAATTCATCCAACCATGGAAGTGTACACCTGCTTGTGGATCACCCACTTTCCATGATGTTAGGAGGAGTCCTAGAGTAATTTTGGAGGAGAGGGTACTCCCCTGCAGATGTCCACATGGAACCCCAAAAAACAGTTTGGCCGGCCTTCGGAGAATGATCTTCCAGTCTGGTTCATTCTGTTCATAATATGGGATCGTTTGTGGGACGTGGGAGAGTATGTTAGTTTGCACCAAGCAACTCAGGCCAACCCTCCCCCAGCCCCACGCCCCTCGTCCTTTCGGAGTCTGTGGCGGAGGCAAAGCGTGATGACCTGCGTCCAGTGTCAGCCGCTGCGGCGACGTGCGCCGCGCGGACCACTGCGGCACTGCGTGTCCGGTCGTCCAGTGTCGGACGCCCCTTTGGAAAATGGTTGGAGGTCGACCTGAAGAAGTGAACTCTTAATTTATATCCCTAGGCCGACCTTCAGTGAAGGTGGGACTGAGGGGGTTAGGGGGTGGGTTTGGAGGCTTAGAGTGCTGTGAGATGATGACATCCCGAACATAGAAGAATCTGGTCATTTTCCGGGGGCCACCAGGGTGCCCGGGTTTTGACTCACTCCCAAATAATATATATATATATACCCACTCTGCGGAACTTCCAAAACATGCCTGACCCCCATGAGGCATTGGACCAGAATGCTTCGCAAAGCCTTTTTCACTGCAACATGTTCCAAGATCGCCAATGGCCCAGTGATGCTTCGAACACAGAAGTCCCAGGCCACCCTTCTGCAGGAGAAATGTCAGAAAATCCATCACTCCTCCATCGGCCTTTTGGACAAATGGAAGTCAGGCTTCGTTTCTCTTGAGGAGCGGAAGGTCCATCCAAGCTACTATCCAAGCCCTATTCTGACCCAAAATGGCCTACACAATCGATGGATTGTCGCACCGTGGTGTCAGGTTGCTATGGTCCAACCCGTCCAACATAGCACTTCGGCACTTCGCTCATTGACTCCTGCACTCTCTCAAATTTGGGGGGAACCCCTTCAGAAGTGGCCCCAAAATGCTAAGTCCTCCAAGTGGAAAGCGACCCGCCCGCCTTTCCGACGTCCTCCTCGGTCACCTCCGTGCGTCCGTCGAAGGAGCAATAGGCCCGCGCCGCACGGTTCGTGACCTGAGCGAGCGGGAAGTCCCCTTCGTCGGACGCAGAGGGGGTTCCCCGGCGGGGATGCAGTGAGTTCAATGGAGCCACTAGTAGCGATGGCCTCCAACCTAGTAGCGAACCTTGTTACTAAGTAATGTGTTGTTTTTTTTGCCAGGAAACCGGGATGAAACAAAAGCATATTCTTGGATCATATTGTATAGGTTCGGGATTTACAGTGAGAAGCTTTAGCCAAACCCAGGGTTTGGTTGCATCCCTTGAAATGAAGTCCCAAGTTGGGCTGGTGAAGATTACGACCTGCCAATGCGAGCTGGCCCCAAGAGCTAAATAGCGCCGGCCATGGCTCATCTATACGTGTCTCCTAAAATCCAGCACGCCACATACACAAGCAGTTTGGGAATGGTACGTGACTCAAAGGTTGTGGGTCATGAACGAAGGTCACTGGGTAGCCGGGTAACACAGATCTCAAAGCCAAGAGGAACGCGGTCAAGATATGGCAAAAAAAATGTTGAACAGTATATTCCTGTAAACATCTGTAACTATTCTCTGTATTTAAAATTAGATCAACTGTAAACCTTCGGAAAGCTGGTCAAGTCTTGTTGCTCACATTTCGTCGGATTTCCCGGGTCCCTCCAGACGGTCACTGGGTGGGAATTCCCGGGTCTCATGCCGTGGCGGGACATTGAAACATCACCACCACTCCTTTCAGGCCCTTTCAGCTTGGTAAAATGTGCAGAGCCCAAGTGCGAACGTCCCAAACGAGTGTCATGGGAAGTTGGATCCCTTTGAAACCAATTTGAAACCATGTCCAAAAACAAATGATTCATCGTGATTCCACATTCCCTCCATGATTCTGCGAATGCAACACACCCAGGTATTGGTCCAACCATGCCTTTTCTTCCATCATGGAGGAGAGGATCTTCTTTTCTGCTCCAAAAGCAAACCTTTTCTGCTCCAAAACCGAACGATAGGGATGGCCTTCCAATGGTTCATCGTAGCCCAGGCACGATATCTCCTCGGAGCCCATCGATGTTCAGCTCGCTGCAGACCTGAGGAGAGCGTCTCCGTCCAACGGTGGAGCGGAGAGAGGAGGGCAGTAAAGAAAGCAATGTTCTCAAACAAGTTGTTACTAGCATCATACCATGACCCATACACTCCATGTATGAAATATATGCCTACATTGACCCCCCAAACCACCCCAATGTAGGCATATATTATTCCATATATGGAGCGTCTGGGTAATACTACATATTTAGCACCTGCCTACAGCACCTCCAAAAAGGAACTGGACGAAACACTGCCATTCTTCGGTCCAAACTGGCTTCACATGAGCGATTCTTCGGCCCCACAAACGCCGCGTTTGGAGTGGAGCGACTGCTATTAGCTAGCAGTTCACTTCATCTCGCCCAGCTCGTTCTTACATGTTCTTATACCCAAAAGTGAAACACTTTTGATCCAAGGTTCTGAACCCTCACTCCAGCCATGAACCGAGTTCGGACGCGGATTTGCGGACGCGGATCCTGGACGCGGACGCTGGATGCGCCGCTCACTCCAGTTGAAGGACCCTAACATCCAAACAAAAGACTAACTCCCTCAGTTTCCCTTAAGAAAAAGCTTAGCCTTTTTCCAAATGTTCATATTTAGTGGGGAAACCACTCCCCCAACAAAGTTGTTCAAGGTTATTCCCACAACTGGTTGCACAAAACGAACCCAAACCACGGCCCGAAGGCGCAAAACCAGCACGGTCGTTCGTCTGTGTCATTGGGTTGGTCCAGTTGGGTCGGTTGTGGATGGATCCAAACCGCTCGAGCCACGGCTTCACCCTGTGAAGCCTGGTGGGGACGTTTTCAGAAGATCTGCCGCCCCAGACCCCCCTGGCACCACCCCTGGCCGGACATGGCATATTCTATGGCAGTTTGGAGTGAAGACCCAGACAAGCGCATCACGTTGCAGTTCATCAGTTGCAACTCCGGAGTTGGACTGGTAAAACGACAAGCGCCTCAAGCTTCATACCATACCACCCATACCATACCACTCCATCCGGAGTTCGGGACCTGAAGAGCAGGAACTTGTTTTTTAACATCTGCAGGTCCCCTGACTTGTGATTTACAAAAACATCCAAAAGCCTGGTCTTCTTGTACAAAACCTTCCTATTTAGGTATTTGAGTCTATATCCGGGAAACTGGTAGAGATGAATCATCACCCAAATAAATGTTAAAAGAAACACGGAAATTCAGAAAGAACCTCTGTCTCTCAGGGTTAAAACATGTTTCTTTTCCCTGTCTCTCCAAAGGTTTTCCCACCTTTCAGCTGCTTCGAAACTCCAACCTAGCAGCACAAACATTGCAGAACATAAACCAACCAAATTTGAGTACGCACCATTGTCAAAACTGCATCTTCTGGAACCTCTGAATGCTTTGTTTGTGTCCAATGATGTCCAATGGAAGTTTTGGAGCGCACAGCATGGGTGCGCCCACACCCGAACATCTCAACCCATCTTCGCCCACACCTTCACATACAGAACCCCATGACGGATTGGGGCATCTTCGTTCATGGCCTTGCTTCGGGGACAAAACGAAGAACCTTCCCATCCCCAGACGCTTCGGTGCTCGCGCCTGGGAGATCTTCCGCGCGATCTCCCCGTCGGTCTTCACCTGCAACTCGACCAGGAATTCAACGGTGCGGTCGGTCTAGCTAGTTGTGTGTTAATGTGGTGGTATCAAAAAGTGGTGTTGAACGTGGGCTCAAGAAGCCCAGTCAAACTAAAACCTAAAAATACCAGAAGCTTTTGATACCCGATCAGCCCACACCATTCCCTGAGAGATTGTCGTCGCACCACGTAGCCCATCCGAACACCGATCTGACTTAGAATACACCCTACTTCGCTACCTAAACTATCTCATATATATTTATATATAATTCATTGATGTTCTTGATGTTTAAAGTAGCGATCCAGCGATACACAAAAAGAGCAAGCCAACGTCCAGGCAATCTTCACCACGTGTGTCCCCCCCCAAGTGCGTTTGACCAAGAGCAGGGACCCGTGTTCAACAGCCTCCACCCTAGTAGCGATGACCTCCACCCTAGTAGCGATGGCCTCCACCCTACTAGTAGCGATTGCTTCCACCCTAGTAACGATTGCTTCCAACCTAGTAGCGATGGCCTCCAACCTAGTAGCGATAAGACTTGATGTGACCACGGGTGAAACCCTCCTCGCCCGCGCCTCCTTGAGCCGTTTCTGTGCCTCTCGGGAAGAAAGTAGACGGTGTCGATGGATGCTCAAAAGCTGAGTGTTTAATTCTGTTTCAACGAGAAATTCAACATGTTTGAACATGGTTAAGTTGTGTTCAGTTCAAGTTCAACTGGTGTTGATGCCTTCCTGCTCATTAGTCACTTCATATAGTGGATTATAGCGGATCTTATTTTGAAGGTATCATTCACAGATTCCACGCTGTCTGCCATGTGTTCATGGAAATGGGAGTAAGTCAGGTCCCTCCGGCTGGCAGGCTGGCAGGACCAATCACTCCATGAGAGGATCACTCCTCATGGATTCCAGCATCGCCACCGGATCTATCGCCAGCCAGCAGCAGAAACAGATCATCAATTGAGGGTATTTCCTCACAAGTAAGAGATCAATTTCATGTTTTGTTTTGTGGAGGTTGTTTTGATTGGTTCTGTTCAGTTCTGTTCATCCTTCGCCGACGCAATCTGCGCCTCCAGAATCTGCGTTGCGAACTCCTGATTGTCATCCACATACTTCTCTCTGAAGCCCTCCGTCGCTGGATTGGTCACGTTTGCGGCGATGGGGGTCGTGGGACGATGGGACTGTGGGACTAATTGATTCCAAGCACAACAGGAAAAATGTCTTCCCTGTGACTTTGTTTCTGAAACCCTGTAGATTGAACGATATGATTGGACCAACAAGACGGATACCAACAGTGCAAGGAACTGTAGATCTGTAGACAGCTGGACTAGCTAACTGGACAAAGCAATGGTGCCTCTGGTTCCTCACATCTGTAGCGGTGCAGGATGACGTGTGGGTAGATGGAACAGTGGAGCCCAACACGCAAAAACGACCTAGGTGCTTCTGTATTGTAGATGGCACGGCGACGCCTTGAACAAAATAACCCAGGTCCTTCTCTTGGGACACCTTGTCCATTTTGATCCTGACCTGGTGTTCTTCTTCAACATCCTCCACTTGCATCGCACCAAAACCAAAACACTAGTAATTAGCTTCTGGCTCCTAGTAAGGCCAGGAGCTACGTTCGTAGCTTCTGGTTACGACCGTGGCGCAACGAACGCTCGAAGAGCTTCCGCACGAACGAAAAAAGCGTGTGGCGCCCCCCACGTCGCACGCGTCGCACGCGTCGCAGCGCGCCACGGGGTCATCCGCAAAGTCCCGGGTGCTCTCCACGATCTTCACCCGGAGCTCCGGGTCCCGCTCCGTCCTTGTTCAGCGTAGCGAGCCATCGGCCGTTTGGGCGAGTAATCGGGTTCAGTCATGGCGGGGTGCACTTCTCTCTTTTTCAAGTCGGGTGGGTAGAAATCCCTGAAGCCAGAATAATGGTGTGCATTCTCCCATATATATAGCATAATGTGTTATGGATCGATATATCATTATAGTTATAATATGATTTATTGTTATATGGGATCTCGATCAGGTTTTTCGACGCAATCCCTAAGTTGTGAGGGGGCTGTGAACTCACGGAGCGTCTGGGGTGGAAAGCCACGACCACCCCAACCAAACGACCACCCCGACCGATTAATTTTACCACGTGACGTCTGCAGAGTGTGCGCCAGGTAAGGGTGAAGCTGAACCTAGAACTGAACCTGGAACTGTTCTACTTCATTAATGGGTGATACATAGTGATACTATCCGGATGGTCACAGGGATGGTTGCTACTGTGGATCATTCACCATGCCGAGAGGTCGACCGTCCTTCCCAAATCAAAAACGAGTCCGAGCCGTCCAAACGGAGGGCGGCGAAGATCCCTGTGTTCAATGATTCTTTTGCATTCATAGACATACCTGGATCTTCAAACGGCACAAATTTTTGCCGGAGGCATTTTTTAGTGAAAAGACACCGTAATCAAAAAAAATGCCGTTTTATGGGTTGTACAAAATCCATGGACGGGGAAAGACGCCGTTTGGACGCCCAAAGACGCCGTTTGGACGCTTAAAGACGCCGTTTCTTTTTGCTTTCTGCCGGCGTGCGCCTCGTCACAACAAAAAACGCCGTCTTTGGAAAAAGACGCCGTAACGGCATTTTTTCCTGAAAAGGCAATTATTTGTGCCGTTTCCAAGATCCAGGTATAGTAGGCTGATTACTAGATCATATAGTATACGGCTAATTATGGAGTTCATTCTATCGTTCCATGATGTTGTTGAACCTCCGGCCATGGCTACGCACTTGAACAACACGAGCATCATCCACTCTTGGGGTCCCCGACCGAATCAGTGCGTGCATACCGAAACGATCCAAGAGCTGTGGACGGAGCTCGCCCTCTTCAGGGTTTCCTGGCGTTATCAAAGTCCAATTTGATCGATCTGAGGAAGGGATATGACGCAGTTGTGTTTTTTTGGGGGGGGGTGGTTCCTTGTCCTCACGTGCAAGTGCAAGACATGTTCTATCAACGAATTCACCAAACTCCAACTATTTCAATCTGTTTGTGTGGTCACAATATTCTTCCCATTTTCGGTAAGTCGATGCTGCACAATGTCTTCAAGCCCACAAAGCACATTTTGCGAAGAAACACAGTTCACAGTTCATCAAATGAAGTGTCGCATCATCAGCAAACGGATTAAAATTAGATCACACTAATGCGGTGCTGTAGGACATCCTTGAGTGCTAGCCCGATCCATCTTCCCTAGCCTTCAAAGACCACGTTTAAAAGGAATGGTTGACCTGGTTTTGTAGCGTCACATCCATGGATCAATGGTGGTTCGAATTTGTTTTGTGCTTGCTATTGCAAGGTGCTTGGAATCGTCTTGCTATCGTTGTTCAGAAGACTTTTGGCCCTTGCGGCCGCTCTGTGCAGGCGTGACTCGGTCGACACAACAAAGAGTAAGGCTCTTGACAGGATGATTCATGTGTGTCCTCAAAGAGCCTTCCAAAGTGTCGACCATGTGTTGGGTAGGCCTTGGTATGCTGAGGCCTACGGGCTTAACAGGTGTTTAGAGGTAGGGGTTTAGTGCCTAAGCATACCAAGGGTTACCCAAACCATGTGTCCTCAACATCCGAACGACGCCTGAAGCCCCGAGCTTCGCCCGCTTCAGAAGACCGGTGTCAGACGAAGATCTCGTTTTTCGGTCGATTGATCGCTCGTCACGACCAGTGACTGCCGGGGTTCATTTCGAGCCGACCGAACTCTTGATGCTGGGGAGGACCGATTTTCTTCCAGTAGGGGCACGGTTTTTGCTTGCGTTGCTAAGAATGAGCTTCTTGAAAGGTTCTGCGATTCCTGGACCCAACTATCCGCGGATTTGCTTGTTATTACACATATATCACCAACGAACATGCCACCCTCCCAAGGCCCCACAACGACCACCCATCACCCCCGGGCGATGTGTAAACGTGTCAGCAGGTGCCGCTGCCCACCAGGATGAACTTGGCCGGGTGACGAATACTGATACCCTGGCAGCCAGGTAAAATTCGCGCAGTTGCGGATGGTTCAGAACGTGCGTACACTCCGAACAGAAGTCCGACATGTTCTATGGAAGTGGAGGGCCACCCTGCGGGGGGGGTGCAGGAAGGTATCGTCTTCGTTAGGGACCAGCGCTGGTCATATTTGATCACTTCCATGTGATGCGTTCGTCGGAGTGTACGCATTTCGCTGCACGTTGTAGCTGGACAGGTCCATGGAGGAGGCGATTCGGTGTGCATCGCGCATAGGATGGGAAAGCTGCCAGGCATATGGCTGTTCTTTTTCTCAATTGGGGGCCCCTGGAAAAAGACCACAGAACATGAACAGAAGAGACTGACGTTACTAGACTAGACATGGTCAACCTAGCAAAAGGTTGGGGTTCCGGGTGCCATTACCTCACAGCCGTAGATGAATCATATTATGAATATGCAGCTTCAGCAACCATGGACAGAGTAAGGATTCAAATTCGTTCTAAGATCCAAACCAATCTTCACATACCATAATAGTATACCTAGTATTGATTGACGAGTGATTCATCAAATCATCCGAAGAATCTTGAAACTTCTCCCATATGTCCGGCCCCCACATCCGACCCATGACCCTCCAACGGTTTGGCTCCCACCTCGCGCTCCACAGTGTTCCAGCCACCTGCTGCGGAATCCAGCAGCACGTCCACCAAGTGGTCGTCCAACAGATTCACCTGGAGGCCGCCGCCATGGAAAGCGTGCGCGGTGCGGTTGGTGCGCAGGACATGGATGTGTTCGTCTTTCAACCGAAAGCCCCTGGGAGAGACCACCGCACATGAACAGAATAGGTCAGCCTACCAGAGTGAGTGAGTGAAACAGGCTCTGGGTGCCATGACCCACAGCGAAGAACGACAGGCGCAACCTGGAGATCTTGGTGGGGGAGAACGATGGCGCGACCAGTACAAAATGAGTGGCTGACTGCCCAGCTGGAGATCTTGGCTGACTGCCAAGCTCACTGATTTGGACGAAGGATCCTCCTCTCCAGTCGCATCTTAGAACATTCTCTCCGCGGATCCATCGAGCAGCGCGAGAAATTCCTGGCGGTCATGATGGTCATTGTTGTTTGTGGAGTACCTGTTTGCGGACCACTTTGAACACAAAGCAAGCAAGCAGGCAAGCACACAAGCAAGCACACACGCATAATACATGCGTAGTGTAGGGTTGTCATGGCTTGTGCGTCGGTGCTCACCCAAACCACCGTTGGTGGCCTCCGCGTTCGCCCGGTGGGCCCCCCCGCCCCACCCGGGTCCGCCTCATCCACGTACAAGATGCCACGGTTGGCCTTTGCCAACAGACCAGGTTCAAAGGCCTGGTCATGCTGACGAAGAGGTGATGCTTGGCGTGAATGTTATGTTGGTCCCCAAAAATCATCAATAGGGGTCCCAATACATGTTGTCAAGGGCAAACTATGTACTACTAGTAACATCTAGTAACGATATGTAATGTATGAGCGTCTGCTGAAACGTTTTGTTGGCGAAGAGGTCATGATTCAACAAGAGGACGTCAATTTTATAGGTCCGGCCTGTCATTTGTTTTTTCAGGTTTAGCAACACTTTCAACATGAATATCTTCAATATTCAACAGCTGGAGCGACCTCTGGTTCGGGCTGAGTGGGGGCCTACTGCTTTGGCATGTTTGGCCAAACTCCTGAAATTCACGAACGCTCAAACTGCTGAATTGATCATCGCAGGTTTTGGCAGTTGCTTAATGGTGCAGGTTCATGGAATACGCCAAATGGATAAAATTAGTTTTGATCAAACGTGTGATCAAAAGTAACATGATGCAGAAACGATCCGCCAAACATCTAGTTAGTTATAATCATCTTTGTAGGAAGCACGGCCACCATTGAAAAAGCCCGTATTAACCAGTGCCTCAAGAGCTCCCTTCTCCAGTCCTTTTCCTCCCGAACTCTCGGCCGCGGAGACGGACCGACGACGAGCGCGAATCATGCGGGAAACGCACCTTCTTGCCCTGGGTGAGGGCCTTCTCAATGTCAATGGTGCCACCTGGTGGGCTCAAAACCCATGGGACTGAACTCTGATCCAACCAACACATGGTCCTTGGGTTCGATATGGTTCGATGGCATGGCCCCCCGAGAAATCGGAGACGTCACTTTCCGAATACCAGGGGCGGGGGGGCCCTGCGTAGCATACTTCACTTCCATGTGTTGGTCGGAGTGTGTCGGAGGACCAACACAAGCAAGTATTGATTCCATACATAGATGGTCTGGGACCCTGGGAGGAAGCGATTTCCCCTCCATGGTGGTGAGACATGTTTGTTCATCTCCCTTGTTACTTCGAAGTGTTTACTTATATCATCCGGTGAGGAGTAATTCAACTCCCTGGATGTTGAACACCACGAAATCCGGAAATTCCTCATGTTCCGCCACTCCTCAAAGGTGATCCGCGACTCCTGAGGTGCCAGGCAAACACGGTCCTCCGTGGCGCCCAGAGGCAAGTCGATCCTGGAACGCCCCGACGATCGGGACGATCGGGGGGGGGGGGGGCCAAACGTGAGGCGTCAGTCTCCGGAGACCGCGCCAGGTAAACGTAGCACCAGGCACTGGGGACTGCGCTGGGCAGCACGGCCACGAACACTCCAGACCGGACCGCTTTGGGCGGTAGTGAATGGTGCTACCAAGCAATAGTGAAAAGCTGAGGGCCGTGGGCTCTCGTGACTGGAGGCCTGAACCGGCGACCCCACGACTGGGCACTGAACGAGCGGGCGAAAGTGGAGACGACAGAAGCGCGGCGAAGGGTTGGCGAGTCGCTAAGGTCGTGCTAAGCCGGTGAGTGATGATGTACCTATTTCATCCTATATCTATGCACCATCAACCAGCCATTGATAATGATCAAAAGATTATCAATCCATGGTTGATGATGATGCAGCGCCCAGATGCGAAAAAGGTGTGCTTTCATCTTTTGTGCATCGACCCCCCCAAAAAAAGCACCAGCACCTGAGGCAGCACCTCGGTACATATGCCAGTGCCTTATTGGGTCGTGTCCGCTTTTTTTGAAAAAAAACGGTCGTAAAGAATGTAGATTCTTCGCCCTCCACAGGATTCTGGAGTCTGGATTTGCCCTCTCAAGCCTGCTTGGACTTGTCGGTGGAAAAATCAACCGGGAGTCAGTCAGTTGGGAGATTGACCAATTCACCTGGAGAGGTTGCCTTAGGAGGACAACATCATTTCGGACAACCTGTATGCTTTGTGGAATGGTCCTTGCGCCAGCACCAAACTGGATTTCAAGTAGGTGCCAGCACCATCACCTACTGGAGCAACTGTACCTGCTTGCCAGCAAATCAGAGTGGCACATCAGACGGCCAAACCGACCGCGCCTCACGGTGCGCACGGTGGACCGCTTCTGGCTGCTCGGTCACGACCCATCTCTCCAGGCCGACGAGTCAACTCTCTGGGGTACCCGGACATCGGCACCTTCTTGTACTTCAAAGGCAAGTCCTCACCTGAGGCCTCAATGGAATGGGGTGTGGGTCAAATCGGATGTTGCTTGTTTGCAGGTGAAGGGAATTTCCTGGATACGTAGGTTGAAACTGGTTGAAACTGAACCCTCCTTCAGTGGTCTCTTCTGGAGAAGGTTTTGTAGATCTGGAGGAGGTTCCACATGAATCACAAAAAAGACCTCCCAAAAGTTGATATGAGTTGATGCAGAAAACTGTGGGGTCCACAGAGTCACAAGACGCTGGGTAATAGTCTAAATTCCCTGGGAAAGCCAAAAGGAGACCTGACAACTTGTCCTCACTCCACAGCACGGTCAAAAACGTTGGTAGCTTTATGGAAGTGCAAATTAAAACAAAAAACACGGTTTGTCAAAACAAAGACAATATCGTATGCGATATATACATATATACTGTTGCATTTATCATACTTGGCCGTAAGATCCAAATTCAAAGAACTATGTTGACTTATGTTATCCTATCGTATCAAAAAGAACCATATTTATTGTTCAGAATCATGGCAAACTATTGATGAAATGCATATACGGCCATATTTGCAAATTGTGCAAAAGTCGTCCAACCCGAAAACACTTGCCAAATGCATTTGAGCAGAAAGGAACCAGCTTGGCACTCCAGGCTTGTCATATATATCTATATAAATGTTCTTTCAAGTTTGATCTAACTGCCAACCACAACCATGTTCAGTCATCCTCAATCAAATCACTACTCCAAGCCACCCTCTTCTCAGTGCGTTCGTTCTACCAAACAAACGCTCCGTGGTTTGGCCGCGCTTCGCCGCTCCGAGCGAGAACACCACGGACGCGTGGCACGCCTTGCGATCTCTGACCTCTTGGCTCATCACTTCTTCCTGCCGCTGCCGGGGAGAGGTGATGGTGGTGATGAAGGTGGGGAACGTGGTGAGGGTGGCGTTGGATTTCAGCTGAGAAGACTTGTTCCGTGCTACTTGCGATGGCCTAGATACCTATAGATCCTAGATCCGCGTCCTTGCTACTGTCTCCAAGACTCCACGATTCCATGGGTACACCAGAATACACCACACGGTGTCCCCCGCATCGAGTCGCGCAGGTGTTTTCAGCGGTGGGGCCGGAGATGTCCGCCATGTGACGAGTTGAATGGGATTATGCAAAGCTGCATAGCCCTGAGCTTCAGTGGAGGGCTTGGTTGAAATACCGGTCAACACTTCTTGACAAAGCATCTGTCCATCTTCCAATGAACAATGGAAAGATTGGAAAGGCAATGTGACTCTTGAAATTGCCTTTCTCATGTATATGTCCGGATTCAAACAATAGACAACGCGTGACCAACTTAAAGCATTGAACCCCGAATCCTGCGCAAAGTCATGGAAACTCCACCCAAAACCTGCGAAAGGGGTGGAGCATTGAACCGTGAAATAGCTTCCAACCATGCAATGCGGACGGCTGATTTCGGGCGCAAAGCGGGGCATGAGGTGGGACCTGCACCAGTTGAACCAGCTTTCATGCGTCTCCAAACAGAAGTTCATGAGTTCACATATGGGGTTGTATAGGTTCCCGGTATACGTTCCCTGTTCCCCTCCTTTCAACTCCCAAACCCTGGGATGTTCGGACCACACAACACATACCATCATGTACTGCGGAGCGCACTGCTGGGAACCTGGCACAACACCGCCCTTCGCATCTATAACCCAATCACCACCTCAAATACCAGCCGCAATGACTCAAACACCGGCCTCCTCGGGCGAGGAGTTGTAGGGGTCGTCAGAGACGCAAGGAATCTCTGGAAGGAGATCCACCAGGGCTGAGCCGGAGAACACGCGTACGATCGCGTTTGCGCAGTCAAGTCGAAGGCTAAGTTGAATCCGTGGAATGGCAAGAATCCCTAAGCAATGTGCTTGAAGTCCATAGTTTCCTTCTGCTGAGAGTCACATTCTGATGATCTAATGCACACCTGTCACCTGTCTTCGTCTTTTCATGCGTGGAACGACGCACCTCTCACCGCACGTGTCGTACCTTTCAACGCGTCACCGGACGCGTCGTACCCGTCGCCGGACGCCTCGGATGGTGGTGGTCTTCCCAGTGCCGCGGTCACCCATGATCATCACGCCGCCGATCTGGGGCGAAAACTGAAAAAGAACACATCATGGGGGCCCCGGCGCCGCCGTGGGGAACCAATTGGCCTTCTCATGATGATGATGCTGATGATGATGATGATGGTGATGGTGTATATTATATCATTTCCTGACACTTGTTTTTTTCTGGTGACCTGGGACATGACGGATTGAGTTGCTTTCGATGACGCGTGTATTGTCGCCTTCAATTTCCTTGTCGATCAGGGGGTGCAGCGCAGCATGATAGGAAATCGATCAGGGTAGACCGCACCCTGTACCCATTGGGAACCATGAAAACGCTGTTCATGTACCCCTTCTTAGGTTTCTACGTTGCAATTTCACCATGTGTTTCATGGTGAAACAGGTATCCCAACAATATAAATAAGATGTGTAACTGTTACTATTATATGTAACTCTCATGGAAACCGCAAACAGAACCCCGTGCAAAATGATAATCTTCATGGTTTCGGAGGTCCAATGTGGCTCTCGGGAGGTTGTAAAACACCTGTGTTCTCAGAGTTTGGACACCTCTTCAGGCACTAAAAATGGCGGATCTCACACAACCCACAAAAACGGGACACCAGTGGTTTCTAGCTTCAAAGTTGACCACGTCCCTTTCTTTAAAAAACGGCGCGCAGGCCAGACCCGGCGTCCTCGCCCCAGGGCCAGCCACGCCTTTGGATCGATCACATTGAGGATCAACGAGAGCTTCATCTCCTGAGGATCGTGTGAGGATCGTGCCGTCTTCGCACGTGAACAACGGCGAAACGGGGGTTCTATTTGTGATGGTCTCTGACCACAAAGCAGATGAAATCCACTTCAAAGAGGGCATGAGTCATGATAGAAGCAGTGTAGTTTGGTGGATCCCCAGGCATGATCTTTGTCTAGGCAGTCACAGCTTTTCTACTTCTATGCAGGTCTTTGGAGTGGTCGTCGAACCAAACACGAAATCCATGCAAGATGGATCTGATTAGGTCTATCCTAACGGTCTGGATTTCCATCCTAACGGTCAGGCGTTGATCATTGACCTTTCATGGAAACAACTGCGAAATCCTCTAGACTTGAAAGGCCCTCAAAAATGTATCCTCCACACTCTGAAGCTTCGAAGCAGACTTAGCTCGAAATCTACTTCTTCTTCCTGGTGGTTTGATATGTCTTAAATGCCTGCTGGTTGAGATGCATTCCCGGAAATGAGATTAGGTGTGGTAAATGAACCTTCAAATGTTGTCTACGGATCATCGGAACCGATGGAGAAGGGCTAGTAGTGACATGTCACGGATCCCAATCACCACAGTGGAAACGTATATGCCAAGTCTCCCGGGATACCTCATGCACCTGATAAGCACATCTGCCAACATGACCTATTGTTCCCCTGCCCTACTTAGAGAAAGACCACATGAAACGTCGGCCCCGGGTGGCCCAGTACCCTTCTTGTCCTTTCATGGGCGACTAAGAAAAATGTTCAGAGGCCTTAGACTGGTAGGCCTGGACATCCCGAACGTAGACTCCTAAACCCTCATGCATGACATCCCGAGGATCACGTCGCCGGACACTGGAGGGGGGTATAGGGTTCAAGTGGTGACAACTTCTCGGACGAGACGCGAAGTAACACACCGAGTCGGGTCAAAACATGTCAAAACACCTCCTGACTGATGTTGATGGATGCCAGATTTCACCCTAAATAAACGTAAACTCTTAGATGAATACGGCCCCTACCCTTTTGTACAGCCTCTTCATATGTTTTCTTTTTTTAAAAAGTCTTTTCATGATGCAGATTGGACTTATGCCCAACCATTCCTACTTTTCTATCTTATTCCCCGAGTGGCAGCCTTTCCCGACACCCCGAGTTCGTGGTCGAGGGGGTGCAATCACCGGACTCGACGTAGTAGGTGGTTCCTGGGGGAGCACTCGATCCGTTTGGCCCGAACAACCCACGGAATTCGGAGAATCTACGTGGTATGCAAAGTTGCATGAATGAAAAAGGATCTATCGACATAGTTATTCTACGTTATTCTTGTTGGGCTTGGTCATAATATGTCTTTTGGGAGGATCTATATCCGTCATCACTCATCTACGCCATCCTCAATTCCTATTGCCCCACAATCTTGGGCTAGCACAGATTGCCCCACGATGGCAGAGAAGGGGTACACCGGCCTGGATGCGTGGTGTGTGATCTGTTGGAGAAACTGGATCAAGGTCTGGAGGACGTACCCTATGCCAACTCTTGATCAATAATCCCCCCAATTTGGATGCGCCAACTTGCGGTCCGTGTCAGACGCGCTCCCACATTTGGATTGTAAAGCCTTACAAAACACCTTCATATGGGCCTTAGTCAAGAGTCTACATTGCGGATCCGCCACCTTCTCAGGTTCGGTACGACTGGACCCGACCATGGTGCCTACATCAAAGTGTCTATGTCGAACATATCAGCCTCTCAGGTCTATGGATCGGGGTATTTGATTGGCTCACCTTGGCCTCCAACCTAAGAGCGTCCGAACGCTCCGTTCGTAGCGATGCCCTTTGCTCCGTTCGTAGCTTCTTGCTCCTAGTAGTAGGGCCAGAAGCCCCTAGTAGCGTCCTTGTTTCTAATCGGCGTCAAGAACCAGTCGATGACAATCTAATTCATTAAATTGCTAAACGTCTCGTCATGTCTCCTCCTCCGTGCTTCTGAACGTGTTTCCTTGAGCGGCTTTGCTTGTTTGAAACAAGCTCCCCCAGGATTCCATGTCGAAGATCTATCTTTAGCTCAGAAGTCCTGTCTTTCCCTTTCGGGTATGGCCCGTGAAGCGATCGATCCCTTCATTCACTGTGTGACTGGATGGCTGACCCCACTACTTCCATGGCATGTATCACCACCCGGTCAAAGCAGAGCATGTCGTCTTCAGCTTTTGGAGAACTTCCCCCCCATGGCCCGTGACTGTCTTCAATGGGACCTCGACAGACCTCGACAGACTCCGCTCCTCCGATGAGGCTCGGCCGGCACGTGAGGTGCCGTGCAGGTGCAGGTGCTAAGGAGTGATCTTTCGAAACAAGACACTCCATGGATCCCAAGGGAATCAACATCCAAACCAGTCCCAGACTCTCCATCCCAGACACGAACACTCCCTGGGACTGCCAGGACGGACTGCCGCCCCATTGGGGTGGTTGACTGGGGGGTCAATGGGGCGGCAGTCCTATGGCAGTCCCATGGAGTGATCTTTGTGTCATCCGATGAAGGGAAGAAGGAGTCAGTATGAGTCAGTCGCATCCGATGAAGAAGGGAGGCATCCGTTCGTAAAACCTGGTGTTCAACACCAGTAGTTCTGGGCTTCGCTACAACACTCCTATGTAGTATAGTGACGGTTTTTCAACTCATCTTCCAACCGTTCTTCACCGCATGTCGCGCGCGGGCCTCTCGGTGGCCGTCTTCTCCTTCTCGGCCACCGCACACAAGTGGACCCTGCCGTGGTGATCGGCTGCGGCAGCATGCATGCAGCGCTCGCTACTCCGTGGGTGGCTGAATTCTAGATGAGCCTACAGGAGAGATCCGTTTAGATCTCACGCACGGATTCTTCAGTTTCCTGGTATATCGGCGATAATTTGGCGTATAAATCTATACATGGCCGTTGATACCAGGGAATATGGAAATTCAAATCAAGTGAATCAAGTGACTTCTCCCTTTGCCTTGGACTTCTGCATTCTCTTCACACCATCTTTCCCGATTGTTTCCAATGCACGTCATCGCTGCTCCAAAACATAGACCTGCATGACTGTGTCTTCGCAACTTGCCATGTTGCTCATTTAAGTACCCTCCATGAAATATATATATATAGAATACGAAGTCGAAGGAGATACATGTTTCAAACATTTGTGGAAGGATTACACAAATCCTGGGACGGAATATCACGGATTCCTCATCTTCCTTCTCCTCCAAAGGAATCGGAAAGCGGCGACCTCCGACCGTGTCCCTCCCTCCCTCCATCCGCGATCTCTGACCTCTTCTGGTTACTCTTGCGGGTCTGCCTTGCGCTGGAAAGCGAAGAAAAGAGATATTCAAAGTCAATATGTAGTAATAGTATGACAGTGTATGAATTGTAATATGTTAAAATATACGTTACAATGTTACATATTGTAGAACCGATATTACAAGAAATTCGTCATCCACCAGTCTGAAATCATACTAAATAAATCTCATTGGAACCATATTTATAAAAGCAAACAAACAGCCAAACACGCATGCAATACCTTGCATCTGCACTGCATGGGACTACAAGTGAGCGTTTCTCACAACCTTGATGAAATCCCATGTCGTATCATTGTGCTTACGCTTGTGCTTACGCTGCCTTACGCGACTCACATGTTTGCTTACGCGGTACACTTGGAGCAAGAAGGGCTTACGCAGGCCTTATTCGACATCAGTTTTTGCGCAAAATGCAGCTGACACCACAACGCGAGCTTACGGGCTGCATACTTTGTACAATGGACATTTACTACACCTAATCTTCGGATATGGATGCTGAAGAAGCACTTGAGGATGAGGACGAAGAAGAAGAAGAAGAAGACTCGAAGGCAGAAGCAACCCAGCAGCAGGAGCAGCAGCAGCAGCACCAGCAGCAGTAGCAGCAGCAGCAGACTAGCAGCAGCAGCAGCGGCAGCAGCAGGAAGTGGAGAAGTGGAAGTGGAAGTGGAAGGGCGATGCGCGCAAACCACATTGTATATAGAGGTCTTCAACCACACGCTGCCGCTGACGCAACGGTTTCGGAGAAGGAGGCATGTGGGCTGGTGGAAAAGGACACCGGAGCTTCTGCGGAGCTTACGCGCCGGAACTCACAAAAAGTCACCTGGAGTGTCTCATGTCTGACATGGAGGTGTGACTGTTCAGCTGTGGTGCTGGGATTGTGTGTGTTCCGCAATTCGAGTTTGGATTCTGTATGTATGTGTGGAGTTGGACTGTTCCTTAGTCCTAGCACTTCTGAGAGGGGTTGCTCATTTATCATGTATTTCTTCAAAGCTTACGCATGGCTTACGCAAAAGGTTTCCTTACAAAAAGCTTACGCAACCTTACGCCTACGCGCGTGCAGGTTTTGCTTACGCACAACTTCGATACGGCAACACACTGAGTAAACATGAACACGAAGGTTTAGCGAATGGCTCAAGTGCTTTCTCCTTCCACCACCAAACATCTTCTGATACTTTCTGACTCATTCGGCCCACCGCCTGCGCGCAGCAACGAGGCTTGCCAAAGCCAAGGGTGTCATCGCGGAGGTGCCCAAAGCACCTCTGCACCAGCGGCGAATCCCCAAACGGTTCGAGGCGGCATCCACATCTGAACAACCCTAGGCTACTTATTACAGGCCACGGTTTGAAGAACGAATCGGAAGAAATTTGGTGTGCAGTGGACTTTTGTTCAGTACCGGATCAGGGGTTGAAACACCGAGATTGGGACCGGAAAGGTCACACCTTTCTTCGAGATCGAAATCTTCTGTCTAGATAGAAAGAAGTTCAACACGGTCAAGCGCAGGACAGGGGTTCCATTCAGAAGCAAAGTGATCATCCATGATAAGATCTCAAGGCGCAGCGGCGCAGAAAGCCTTGTTTTCGGATCAGCCAATGAAAAGCTAGGATGTTTTGCCCACGAACATGGCAATCGACCAGCATTTACAGAGGGTGAAGACAGAGTCTCAGTCCGACGTCCGATTCTGGGAACACACCCCTACCCTTCACGTCCTCTTCAGGACCGCCGTTATACCATAGGACTCTTGATCATTTACCCTCCCATATATTGTTTTACAATCCAAATGACAGGGGTATGAATCATGAATCAAAAGCCTACATTAGAAGTGGCAAGTTCATGGCATATTCCCACTTGGAAGATCGTAGAATCAGAAGGGTTGCCGCACCAGCTGATGTCAGGGAGCATTGTTGCGCCCAAAACTGTGTGTCTTTGGGGGCAAAAAACGCCGAGTGTTTGACCCTGATCTTCCATGCCAAAACAAAGCGTCTGGGTCGATGGGTGTCTCTCCGCGCGCGAACTCGTGGCGCCTGCAGAGGTTGAGGCCTCAAAAGAAGGCTCAAAGTCAATCATAACCGATGTCATAACCATTTCATGTCCAATTCCATTTCCCAGTCTCAAAAAAGGTGTTATTCCATTTCCAGCCAGCTTGTAGCTTGGTCAAGACAAAAGCATCTTGAGGCCTTGGATGATCCCTGCATCTCCGTTTGTTTGACGGTCCCTATGAGTATTGCAGGAGTCTTCTGTGACCAAAAATCATCGGCACCTGGTAAAAAAGGGACCACGATGCCCCGCCCACCATCCACCTCGATGTTTCAACAGGTCACGGTCTCTCCCTGGAGTGTGGCACTGGCAAGGGCCTCTTTTTGATTCTCCCCAAACACTCCAACCAGCCCGACCGGTCCCTCAAAACCGATTTGATACCCCAGAGCCCTCCATATGACGGTCCATCAGTGTCTGGGTATAGGTGTAACGCTCTCAGATTAGGGCCCCGTCCGCGCGCCGCTGCTTGCATGACGCAGGTTTCAAAGGTGTCAACGGTCCAGTGCTGAGGGGAGTCACAAAGGCCTGAGCACCGCCACGCAGCTGGCGACGAAAAGAAGAACGTCAGCTTGGCCTCTCTTGACCCTGAAAGGCCCTATATAGAGAGAGGTCAAACATACCTATATATCTATCGCCTATCCCAAATACTACTTCACATCCTAATCATCCAAAATCTCTCCTCTCTGGAGGGCCTACCTTCAGGTGGGGCCCTCCTGAGGGCCGGGCCCTCCTTCATCCATTCAAGTTTACGCAGTGTGCCACCCCTAAAGCACCAGGCTCTCTCTCCGGACATAATTTCGTCATTTTCGGTCCGAAGACGTCTACTGGCAAACATCAGTCCCTTAATTGGGGTCTGCATCCGCATTCGCTCGGCTCAGGTCCTGGTTCTGGGTCACATCACAATGGAGACCCAAAAAGCCCAAAAATCGTCTAAGATATGGGGCATTGACGGGTATTGTGCCATATACTCCGCAAATGTCAATTCTTTGAAACACGAAAGCACAATTGGGGTTTGTTCCTTGTAGGGCTTGTGCAACAACTCTTGAGAGGACTCGAACCGTTTCGAAAAGTCTTGTGAGGTGTTTCACGGAGGTTGATGGGTTTGTCAGAAACTTGGATGCCTCCCATCATTTAGCAGCGACATCCCGGGGTTGCTTGGCGATTCTTTCTCTTCCAGGCATCCTTGGACGCCCGAGGATGTAAGTTGGGCGATGTGGGGTGGAGAACATCACCGCCAACTGTGGAGATGCAACACAGCGACCAGTGAGCTTGGATTTGCTTAAGGAACTGGAAAACAAATATACTTGCCCAAAAGGGGATTTACCCACAGGAAAGATAAACATTAACAAACATAACCTTGGGGCAAACCCAGTCAAATCCAAGACTCGGCGAGTGATCCTGATTGTTGTGGTGCCCAAACGCTCCCGGACCCGAACCCTCTGGAGGGACCGGTCCCTCATACGGAGGGGGTCTCAAATTTCTAGGTTTTGAGGGACCAAGGGGCTGTTTGGAGTGTCTGGGTGGTTGGGATATGTTGGGATACATTCTGGTCGACGTCGCTTTAACACATTTCTTCGCAAAATTCCCGGTTCAAAAAAATATCAGCTGTGTCCCTGGCAGATGAGGCCGCAAGCCTCAACAGCTGATCGGCGATGGGTTTGAATCTCGAGGTTTGGAATGTCATCTCAGTTGTAATGGTTAATTATTTTATGTAAGCTAATCATATGGCCTACATTTGGTGAGTTTTGCTGGGAAATTTATAGGCCACATGTTGCATTCCCATGCGGCATGGCACAACATCAACAAATCAAGACTACGCTCGTTGGAGTTTCGGACTTGTCTTTAATGAAAAGGTTCCTCGTATGGTGATCGCCGAACCCCACTAGTGACGATTTGGGCTGATCAATTTGATGCTGTTTTGTGGTCATCCTGGAGTAGATAGAATATGCAAAAGTTAAGAACAAAAAACATACTGTATGACATTGGTCATGTTTCATATTCATTCATATCCAAGTATCTACTCCCGTACTCCAGCATGGTTGATACGTTGGTTGTTTACAAAGTTAAAGAAACGGTTCGAGCATGACTCTGCACGCTTCATCTTTAGATCCCTTCATCGGCCCTAGATTGGTGTCTTGACAATGGATCCGCCCAAAGGACTCTTAGCGGCCACAATCAGAATCGTCAGAAGGGCCGAGACATTCCCTCCATGGGACTGGAATATGTCCCAAACAGGTCGTGTCTGGGTGGTGGTGGTTTGTAAGACTTCTTGCAACAACGAACTAGAGCTATAGCTAGAGCTAGCTTGTGGAACAGCGGAATCCCGACACGCTTCGGAAGGCTCAAATCATGCTTACCTGCAGCACCTCCTCAGGCCACTACTCCACCTTCATCCACCTACCCCCCTGGAAGCGCGGGTTCGTGTGCACGCGAAAAACATCGCGCATTTGGCGCACAGAACTGGGTGCTCGTGACATGATCGGCAAGGTCGGGAAAAGGCCTGGGCCAAGCGCAGCGCAGGGCGCTGGGGGTGGTGGGCCCAAGAGGTTTGGCTGCGAGAGCTGGGCCCAGCAGACGGCAGTCATGTGACCGTTCCATGTCAGTTTGCTTAGTGGAGGAGTTCGGTGCGCCCAAAACATCACCTCATGCTTTTGGGGACTACCCAATTCCTTTGGTACTTAGAAATTGGAATTTCCTTTCTTGGGTTCCCACCTGGATGACCCGGGCCTTCCACATGATTCATGATCCGGAACCGGATGATCTTTTCCTCTATCCTTCAGCCTGAAGCGAACCGCGCCGGACATCTCGAGCTGCCCGGCCACGGCCAAGGGCACGGCCACGTGTGGCGCTTATTGGTCAAAATTCCCACAGAGCCGAAAAAGGGCCTGCGGAGTTCGGCGCAGCGACTCCTCAGCGACCATCCTCTGTGCTTCCAAAAGTTCATTCCCGGGTTTTCCCCAAGAAATGCGCATAAGTGACCTCAGACCATGTCGCCTGCGGCCACGCTGGTGGTGAAGAATGCATGTCAAGAGATGTCATTGTGGACAGCATAGGGATGATTTTTTGGAAGACACTCCATATATGATATGGAATTTATATGCCTGCCTGACTGTCAGGCAAACATGCCAGTCCCATGGGTCGTGTCTGGGCATTGGAAGATCTGCATGAAGACCTCCATCCATCATGCGAAGTGGAAGTTCCCAGCTGCCTCTGAAGTTGCTTCTTTCTCCAAATCGGGCATCTGAAGCCATGCCGATATTGTCCAGGACCACCAAATGGACGGGCGAAAGGCAACAGGGGTCATAGAACAACTTGCTTGAAGAGCAGCATGTTTCCCAGGAAACCATACTACAACCATCTCAATGAGAGAACATGCCTAGTTCGACGGTAGTTCGATTACCCATCCCAACCTCTCTTCACCCAAAAAAGACCTATATAATATATATATATATGCATGTTGCTTTTTTTGGCTGTGCACCCATGAAGTTGTCGTTACTGCTTACATCCAAATCGTTTAGCCTTTTGTCTTGGGGGTCCTGACAAACCATATCTCGCACTGCTTGCTTTTGCCGCCACGCCCGGATCTTTCTGCATTTTGCAAATACCTGGCGGTTATCAATTGGTCATCCAGCTGCTTCGAATGTAATTAGGGTGCAATGGGGTGTCAATACGAGCAGTTCTGCCCAATTCTGTCAATTCACCTGGAATTTTGAGATGTTCTGGTCCATGTTTTTGGCGTGAAACCATGTTTGTCCCACGTCCATCCGCACGATTGAACCCGATATTATCAGGATTTCGCCAACTCCTTCACACGGTGGTGGGCAGGCATCCCAAACAAGGCGCTATCTGGCCAAAGTGGAAGTAAACGCGTTCAGAAAGCCTAAATCGGTATTAAAATTGGGAGACCTCCCAAAGGACCCTTGACAAAAGGAACATTAGACAAAAACCCATTGCTCATTGGCGAGGGTTTTCCATATTGAAATACCAACCCAAGTGACCTGGACACCCTGGGGAAGACTCTTTGAACCCTCTAGGTGAACCCAGGGTGATTGACTTGTCAGCCATGAATTTCGAGCAAACTGGCAGTAAATATACTGGGCGGGCCAAATTGTCAAGTGCGGATGTTGGTGAATTGGTCTGAGAATTCGAGGGTTCTCCAACCAACTGGATTGCATTCCCAGCTTCCCTTCTTTTTCAACTTCAGAGACACATCTATTTCTTGAACTTCTGACCCAGCTTGGCTTCAAAAGGACGCTGATTTGTCTATTCTAACCAGCCTGAGGCTGGCCAACGGCAGTGTTTGGATCATATATATATACTGGAGAATGATGGACATCTGGAACAGCCAATTTCAGGTTCACGGCGGCGTCAGGAAAGCTGCCCATTCCGGGCGTCTTGCTGTGAGACACCCGGAGGGTTTGTGCAAGGACAAAAGACACCACATGACTGCTCTGGGCCCCACCAGCACAAGTTGATGCATCACAACTAGGCTTACCTCCTGGGTTTCATCCTTGGCAGTCGCGAACATCCCTTGGAAGGGCCTGTATTTTTAAGCACAAAGCTGCTGCCAACAAAACACAACTCAACATAACCCAAAATGACAAGTCAAGGGACCTCCATTCAAACCATGTTCCATGCCTCTGGAGTTCCCTCCTCTTTTGAGTTCTTTGAGGAGCAGCGGTCCACCTTCCGATCCTCCTGTCCACCTTCCGATTGATCGCCTTCTAAGTCTCGTAGATTGCCTTGCTCAGTGCCTGGCAGCGCGGGTATCACGCGGTGGCCGCGGTGCGTTGAACAAGACCTGCGCTTTGGACCAGTGATCTCTACCAGGAGTCACAAGACGGGGTGCCGAACGAACAGAGGAGGTCGGGGTGCCCCTGTCACATCCACTCACTGGATGGGACTAAAAACCACCCAACTCCATGTGACTCCTGGTAGACTTCTCTCCAGATGTTGCCTGCTTTGGAATGTGCATCCCGCTTTCCCGTGCACAAAACGGACCAGTGGTAGAGGTGTCTGATCGAGTAAAGTTTCCAAAGCTTATGGTCAAACTGGGTGAGTTTCTCCTAAAAACATTGAGTGCTATTTGAGTGACTTGTCCTTTCTCATATACAAAACATCATCCAGGAGTAGATAGAATATGAACCCATCTGGAAACATGACTAGTTTCCTATTGTACTTTGGGTGTCCCGTTTTCCATCTGCAGAAGAAAATAAACTGAACCCAGAATGAATAGAAAAGCCTTTGTCCTTTAATTGAACTATAATTGTTGGAACTGATGTTGTTCCCTACTACTCTTGAACACCAATTTTTGGGAGCACAGTAATGAACATATGGGAGTCTCTAACTCATGCTCCAATTATTTTCCCAAATGACCCAAATGATACACATGTCACATGACCCACAAGAAAGACTAACTTCGTGCTAATAGCCTGGATTGCTACTCCTGGATTCCGTTTAAACATGATCATATTAAATTATCAAAAGGCATCCATCTACGTAGCAAACCATATAGCCCTAGTAACGATAGCAAACCGCAAAAGGAACAAAACAGCAAACCATATAGCCCTAGCAGCGATGGCCTCCAACCTGCTGTGATGACGGGCGCTGTGGACTCCCCAAGACCCCGTCTGATGCCAAACCCTGCCTGAACTGCTGAATACCTGCGGATCTCAGTGGCGCCGGGTCGGAAGTCAAACTTAATACACTCCCTGAGACAATCATGGAAATGGCACAGTTCGGCCCCTGGAAGAAATGGTCCTCTACAAGTGGGGCCTGCTCAGCTTCCATGACCTCTGAGGGAGAGTAATCTCATTCTGATGTCATCTCCTGCAAAATCTCTTTTGGAAGTGAATCTCCCCACCAGGTGGGTCCGATGTCATCTCCATGCGATGACTATTGCTTGGTTGGGAAAAAAAGAACGACACCGTGTTCTACCCCCTTGAGATCAAACGAGGTGACGTGGTGATGATCATAGCCAAACGAATGTCTTTAGCAACGGTATGTTTCGCTGCTTGTTACTTTACTATAGTCCAGGCTATCCATTGGCCACTTGCGCCTGCGCGAAGACAAGCCTTTGTTGATCCTGAACACAAAGGAACATCACCTTTCTCCGCTGCACATTCACTATCATTCATCCCAAACACCATTTAACACAAAAAAAAACACAAATACACAAAACAGCGGTCCCATGTCAAGACCAACAAAATGTCTTTGTTACAAGACTGGATTCTTGACATCTTCATCATGTAAAAAGACAAGGCCTGTTTTTCACGAAAAACACTAACATGACCATGGACCCCGGTCTTGGCAGGCACCCTGGTTAAATTTTGAAAGACGGTTGTTTCCTCTTAACAGGCTGCACCAGTGACTGTTCAAGGTCCATAGTAAGCTGACTCCCCTCAGTTTCCCATCTGTTGATATTTAGGGGAAAACCATCCTCAAAAAGATTAAAGGGTTAGAAGACTGGTTATCAGTGATCCACTGTTCGTTCCAGGTGGTGTCGACCAACATGGACCCCAGACCCACCGAGGAACCCTCGCCTTTGTGCCATCGACTCCTGCGTCGCTTCACCCTGCGGTCGGTGGCGAACGCCCATCCGGTCGGTGGCGGAGTGGCGTTCGGCCGAGTTGCGCGGGCGAAAACGAAGAACCGAAGAAGCATGCGAAGACGAACGCAACATGAAAGAGTTGGTACGAATGGTTGCTGGTGAATCCACGTAAAGCCAGGGTAAACCAACGAGAGGTCAACTGCCAATCTTGTGTCTCTACCAGCTTACCAAAAAAATGTCAGCCACCCTTTGGGAGGGTGTTCTATCATCCTTGATTTGTGCCAATGGCCACGGCCCAAGGCATTGTGGTCTTGATTCTTCCTGCACAGCGCGAGAGTCTGCGACAAATGTCTGGGACCAAATCGGTGAGTGGACTCATGGGGATGAGGGATCTCTCTCATGGGTGGACTCATGCAGTCCGTGTTTTTGTTGGTATCTCAAACACCCTCACTCTCACGAATATAGCTCTGATACGATGCACCATGACATCCAAACCTCAAAGTCTTCATCTCTTTCATCTACAACAGTGATACTTTTCACTTTGGTCTTTGGGCACCATGACAAAAAAATAAAACACCGCAAAATGGTCTCGAAACGGAGCCTGTTTAGCCGAAAAGGTGCTCGATCGATCTCTTGGTTCTCTTCTTCTTACGTCATCGGATTGTTTGTGCCAGCTCACATCTTCCGTGAATGCACGCTTCTCCGAGCGTGTGAATGGTGCAAATGATAGACGACCCCTCCAGCTCTGGGAATCCTCACGCTCTCCCAAAAAGGACACACATCCATGCTTCACCATGTTTCACTATGTTTCACTATAATGTAGACTCTTGATTACCCCCCATATGAAGAGGATGTTCAATTCAATGGGGGGTAATGCATGGTAATGCGTTGAACCGATGCTTGATGTGTTTCCCTACACACGTGCCTTCGTTCGGTCTCACATATTTGTTTGTACAGTCCGTGTTTTTGTATCTCTCTCAGTTTGTGCATACAACATCCACGTTTCACACAGACCACTTCCACGTTTCACCCGCCTTCCACATGCAGCAAGGGTCTACGTGGATGCGACAGTGTCCGCAAGTCAGAGCATTCAATGGTTTTATTTTTTACTATAATCAAGAGTCTACATAATGTGTTCACCCCCCAACTGCCCCGTTCGTCCCCAACTGCCCCGTTCGTGCCGTGTACTTCACGCCTCCGGGGGCAGAACTTTGGGCGATCCCCGCGGCGAGCGCGGCGGCCAGCGGTGCGGCGAGCGCGGAGACTTGGGCGAGCGCGAGCCCGCCTGGGCGCTTTCGCGTGGAAAGTCGGGTCGAGTCGAGTGGAGGTGTCGGGTGGAGGGTCCTTTGGAAAGGAAGGAACCCGGATTTGCTAGCTGCTTCTTTAGCATATATGATGCCAGCTGCCAGCTGTCTGCCTATGCAAGCCCATCACACTTCCTGTTTCCCCAAGGGGCCAAAACCCATGATGTGGTCCAGACAGGGAAACAAACATCTATTCCCCAGGTTCGGGGATGGATCCCCCATGGATCCCCATTGGATCCCCATCATTCCCCTAAGGAAGCACCATAAAAAGGCACCACCGGTGTTTCAGGCGATGCACTACAAGTCTTCAGGGAGGGCGATCGATCGCAAGACGTGTCGTCCCTCGACCGGTGCTGGTGAGCTGCTTCCAGGAGCCTGTCAGGGGTGGGGGTGTGGCATGTCTTCCTTTGTCCGCTAGCCCCGGAAGTCCAAGACCATTTTAAAGATGGTTGATCTGTTTTGTTGGTGTAAACTCCTTATTATAGCATATAAATGTATATATTGGTAACAACTATTATTTAAATGGTGGTTCGACTTCTAGATTCCTTTTCGATTGCTACCGAACACGCGGACCCTTCGGATCCTGTTAGGGGTGGGAACCTGTGAGAAGTGGTTCAGGATGTATGCTGGAAGAGGCAACAATGAGGACACACTCATTGGACTCTGGCTTACTTCTCTGATGTCAACCTTAAATTGGCCTCAATGCCACAAAAAGGAGAAACCCGGAGCCCTGCCTTTTGAAACGACAAAGAGTGAACCCCAATGACAAGAAAGGAGCGCCCAACTAAGCGATACCCTCCAACAAACATGGAAGTGGACAACTACCTGTTTGTAGAGGAACATGGTTCGGTCTTCCAGAAGTCTATTCTCCACTTCCATGATTGTTGGAGGGGGAGTAGCACATTCAGCTGCACACAATTGGTCCGGGTGATGCGTGGGAGTCCATCTTTTGCCGTGCAAGCTAGAAAGGGACCCATATTGAGATTGATTCCTGATTTTTGACATGCTGCATCATAATACTTGTTCTGCTGGATTAGACCATTTGCTGCACGGAGGTGACATGAACGAAAAAACACAATTGGACTGCTGAAAGATGCTTTCACTTTCAGCAAGCCCAAGAAAAGGACCTTGGGCTCCTAGACCGTTGTAAATCCCACACACACACACACTTACACTTAGATAGATGGCTCGCAAGAGCATAATGTCAGGAACTGGTTCAACGAACCCATTAGCCCTTTAGTGCATTAATCCTTTACTGCAAAACAACAAATAAGACAGCTTTGGCCTTACTTAGGTTCACCAAGACTCGCATTAGCCCTTTAGGAAGAAGTGGAGTCACAGCTTGAACAACACCACAACCACGCAGGTACGTTTTCCTGATCATCCAGTGTGGAGCTTCGTTGGCAGAGGCCACATCTGGAGGTGTACTCAGCAATCAAAAATTTGGTCAACGCCAGTGATTGAAGACAGTGCTGCGTATCCCTCAGGAACAGGGAGTGACACACACACACCACACACCTGGACCCTCCTGGCCAGCTCTTTCCTGATGACAGCAGGTGTCCAGAAATCACCTGCTGGGGTCCAATGGCTAAACATCAAAAAATCTGTGTTTCAGCCACTCTCAGAAACCTTCCGCGGTCGAAAAGCAATCAACACTCGGGCTCCGCGCCAGCCCTGGTGACGTGGCCCCCCGCGCATGTGGCGAGGAGAGCGGAGAAGCAGAGGCGCTGCTCTTCAGCGCTTTCGTGCTGCTCTGCGGCGACAGCCCTAAGACCGGGTGCCTGGGTGAGTGGCCAAAGGACCGAAGATGACCAGAGTCACCCACGGGGACCGCAGCGAGAGATGACCGGTGTTCCCTTTTTGGGAGAAGGAACAGGAAGATAAGACATCACTTGGATCACCTGAAGTGCATTCGGATCGTTCTGACCTAAATTGAAAGATGCTCCTTTTGCCGGAACACGGCACACAAACCAGGATGATAGTCCATGTATGGAACAAATGCCTACATTGACCTCTTTTCAACCACCCCAACTGATTGGCAAATACTTTGTAGATGGAGTCTCTGGCATAGTAAAAGGCTATATTTGATCATCTATCCCAAATGCTCCATGTACGCAAATATGGCCTGCATTTGGTGGTTTTGGGTGGTGAATGTAGGTCGTATTTGCTCACATGGAGCATTTGGGTATAGTTTGGGGCGGGCCGACGAACTTCAGTATCTGCATTGCCCGAGCTGAGTCTCAAAACAGGGGGGGGGCCATCCAAAAGCGTCAGCGTGCTCGGTCGGCGGTCTCGTCCTCACTCCAGGCCCGCCCCCAGTGATTTACACTAACCTCTCCTTCCAACCCCACCAGTCTTGTCTGCCGGACCCCTTTTCAACCACTCTCTCTCTCCGTCTCCGTCTCCGTGTTGGTTTTCAACCCCCTTTTCACACGGTGGAAACTCCCACCGTCGCCTCGCATCCGCATCCCCCGCGGTCGACTCGCGACTCGCGACTCGCTTCCAAGCCGCGAAGGTGAACGTGGCGAGCCGTCCAACTGAGCCGAGCGACCGGCGACCGGCTCTCCGAGCGTGCTCCTCCTGCCCGCGGCCTCCGCTCCCCATCGCGGAGCTGTGAGTGAAAACCGCAGCCTCCAAACCTTTTTGGGATTGGTGAGTGAGTGAGAAACCCCAGACCCCTCCGGATTCAGGTCCATGGAGCGCGTCTGGAAGAGTCTCGTTTGGGCTGGCCGCCCCCCTCCGCTTCGATTGGTGGTTGGGGTGGGTGCCAGGGCGGGGGTCTGTGCCCACCGAACCGGAGGAGGGGGGCCAGGGGCTCTATATAGGGTATATGACCTTCATGGATTGTCGCTTGAAATAGGACCCTTCCACGATGAGGTCCTTTAGACCCTTGCTTGGACCAAAGGATCGCCCACGGCATCCAGGCCGTTCGAAGGCCGGTCTGGACGTCTGGATCTGGCATATTGACCAGGTCCAAAGTCCTTCAAAGAAATGTGAGTATCCACCAGGGCCGGACTGGCATATACATTCATTGGGGTGTGGTGGATTTCAGGGGTCAATGTTGGCGTTTTTCTTCCAGTCCCATGGAGTGTCTGGGTATAGTAGACCTCACTCTGGAGTTGGCTAAGAGATGTGAAAGGTAAAATGAAGAAGTGATGGCAAAGGGGCACCCCTGGCAGCAAACATGGGGGGAAGATGAGCCTCACTTCATGGGGGGAACACGTGTGGTGTTGTCATAGTCCGACACAAACCTAGGCCTAGGCATTTACACCACGCCAATTATATAACACGTTGATTTGGTAGTAGGTAATCAACAAACGTGGCTAGGAAGGAACTTGGTTACACGACACGAATTCAACACATTGGTCTGGCTTTGCTCACGCAGGAAGGAACACATTTGCTGCGGTTCTAGGTATCTTGAACAAACATCAAAGATTGAAGCTGGCCCACTGCCCCAAACCTTCTCCAGTTGTTATGGCATTCCAGCCACCGGTTGAGGCCACTAGACATTCTGCCCAATGGGGTCCATGAAATAGGAGAGGAGATCACTCTGAGATAAAAAGAACAACATGTGCTTTATACACATGTCACAATATATCTTGGAAAAGAAGGTTCGTCTTTCTAACCTAGCAAACTGGGTGCTGATTTGGTTTGGAGGATGGTAGTGTCTTGGGGGGGGAACGGCAATTTAATGACGTGAACTTTGAATGTGAGAGGCAGCGGCAGCTTCGGGCGCACATCCTGGCATTTTGGAAGCTACTTTTGAGCAAATGATTGTGCTGAAAGAAAAGGAGACACAAAACAAACAAAAGCAGGACTAATCGACCAACCATTCTCAGTGTCAACGAAGAACATTCTGGTGCAAAAACCTGCAAACTATGACAGGAACCTGACAAAGTCATCCAGTCATCCCTGGTCTTCTGCCATATACTATAAACCCCAATCCCTCGCAAAACCCACTTGATGATCGGTCTCAAAGGTCTGTCCGGCTTCGCACCACATCCACTGAGCACCCGCACGGTTTGCCGAGGGTAGGGCGGCGAGGCCGAGTACGCCTCGCGCGGTTGGGGGACGAGAACACCTAGACTCTCCGTGTATGGCATATTTGCCGATCAGTTGCGGGCAGTTCCATACATGGAGAGTCTGGATACAGGCATTTGTTGCGTCTGCCGCTGCTGGATGCCGCTTGTCTTGTTTGGTCGTCTCGTGAAAAGACCCTTCCAGCTGGGCAATGCCCTGGGTCGTGGGGTGTTGGATGTAGTTTCATCTGAGCTTTGCTGAAAAGCTTGATAGCTTCCTATCTCATAAGAGCATCTTACCTACTATGACGCTCATGTTTCTTTTATCTTATGCATTGCAAGGTTTTCCTTACGCAGCTCTTATGACAAGATCAATGCCACGCAAACAAAAGGGTATGTGGCTCATCTGCGATGAGCACCCGAACTGACCAGCACCCGGTTCGGGTGCGTGTGATTGGCGCGAGAAAGCGGGGGTGGGTGGGTGATGAGGTCATAGGTCTGTACAGTATGATACTTGTATATACTTGTACCAACTTGCAACATCGGATGCATGTAGGTCAATGTGTGCAAAACAGTTTGATCTTGCAAATCTCAAGATCATGATGTCATCCAGTCCAACCTGAGAATATCTGGCCAGCCTCACCCTTCTTCTTTTTACAGCTCAACGAAACGCCCAGGATGTCGGCATCCCTCATAATCCCTCAATCTGTTGAACGCCGAACTCGCCCGGTACCAACCAACTCACTCACCAGCAATCAGCGACGATGTTCCGCCCCCATCTCCCTCCCACACCGTGCCCACGTATCGTGCAGCGACGATGACCCGCCCCCAACCGTCCGCCCGCGCACGAAGCGCCGCGACGTCCGTTTCGGCGTCTTCACCGAAGCGCCTGGAAGGTGGTGAACTTCACGTTGCCGCTGACTGCGCCAGCGTTTCAGACGGAGACGTTCTGTGGTTTTCTTGGTGGCCCGCTCGAAGCGAAAGGGCGTCGTGTTTAATTGTTTTTCAGATCTTCAGATCAAGCCGCCAAGTAGAGGTATAGATAATTACTGTACTATGAAAATCCCTATAGAAGTCCAGTTCAACTAGATTTTGACCGACTGGGGTAAAGGAAATCGCCTTTCAGGTCCCCTAATGACCATGCTTAATAGTATTTGACTCCCAGGGGAATGCTCAAACCTTTGTCAAGTAGTTGTAAATGTTGTAGCAAAGAACCTCTCTGCTAGAGTTCATGAAATGAGAAACTGTACCTTCGAATGGTTTTTTTGCATCTCCATGTGGGGGTGTTCTATTCATCAACCATCTACATTCCATGCTGCATTTTTTTGCAGCTCCAATCATACTGAGACTGGAAGTCGGAGTAAATGGGGGAGCCCAGTTTCCTTGATGTTGGCCGACCATGTTTGACCCATTGAGAATGAAAGTCACCATCAATCAAGTGAAGAATCTAGAATCTAGACCTAAGTATATTCATCAAACCACTTTCAAACACGTTCAGAACAGTTGATGAGCCTAATTTAGCCTAGGCCTAATTGATTGGCATGTCTATCACGCGACGACAGGATAGTCCCATCTGTCCGATACTCTTCGTGTAGCTTGGTTTTTAATGGTCCAAGCTCAGTCCATCCCACATCAACTGAAAACCACTCGTTTGCCCCGGTATCTATGCAGGCGATTGGAACAAAATCATCTTCCTACGTTAGCTACATGACTCGCAACGAGAATCAAGTGCTTTGCATGTTTCCTCTTGCCAGTGGCTTCGGGATGAGTTGGGTCTTGAAGAACTTACCAGGCAAGATCGGCTGCCCGCCCTTTTGACAAAGTATTTTTGGGGCATGGCATGTGGCTGGGTAGCCACCTCGAAAGCATCCCAGCCGGCATTCCCAAACCCCAAACACATGCAGAATCACCTTCTCCGAGACTTGGGTTATTGCGGATGGTCTCTCACCATGGAAGGTCATTTACATCCATTTCCATTTACCGGATGGTGACACATTGAGACACCATGGAAGGTCTGTCTGGTTGGTCTTCTTCTCAAAACACGACCCGTTCGCCTGGCCCTCGCCTGGGCGGTTCGAGAAGTCCGCGATGCGACGTGGCCGCGGAACGTCAAGATGAGCGGCGGATCTCTTCGCTTCGGCTACTTGGCGAAATAACTCAGAATATACATATACAAATATATATACATATATAATATATTATATAAATCTATATAGTAATTTCGTTGATGTGGGATGCCCGAATGATTTCGTTCACCAGCGAATGCTGGTGTTGGACAAACAAATAGAACATGCCGTAGACCACTTTAGGCAAGACCAAAATTCCGTGTGCTTGCTCACATGTATATATACTCTATGGTGTGGATGACGTGTCCTCTCTTCCTGGTCAAGTGTCCTGGTAAAGCTCGGTCCATTGGAGTCCTTCTTTGAAGTGTTTCTTGGTCGATGTCCTTCTTCAATGGACTGGGTAAGCTAAATTTCTTCCTGCCCTGGACTGGGGGTGTAGGCAGTGCACCCAAAAGTCAAGGCTGCAAGTATCTCACGCTTCTCTGGGACTCTTCAGGGTTCTGACATAGGGGGGCTTTGAGTATTTCTAGCTTCCCATGAGTAGAAGAAATCAAGACATGGAATCTGAGCGGGGGGGTCTCCGCTAAGCCCTGGACCTGGCTAACAAGTGCTGCTGCCTTTGAACCAGCTGCTGATGCTCCTCCAGCTGCTGTGGGGTTTGGAGCTTGCTTTGGGATGGATTTGCAAACTGAAGGCTTAAAATATGTTTAAACGTTGAAAGGATTTCTAATCTACATTATGTTTTGGCAGTGGACAAGAGATCACTAAAGTACAATAAAAATCAATAAAATACAAGCAAGCTCTGATGAACAACAAGATCTGAACTATAAGTCTCTAAGTCTTGCTCTGGAGCATCTGCAATGAAAAGAGCTCTGATCTCATATGCAGCATCTTAAAGAATCATTGACACTTGCCTTCGCAGTTTGCAGGAACCGCGCCTTTTGTCTCACCCAAACACGCGCACGCCGCGTTCTCACGCGCTGTTTCTTCGCATTTTCCACCGCGTCCTCCAGGAGGTTCGTCATGGAGGAGACGAGCTGCTCCGAGTCGCCCGGCCCTGTGGTCACCTCGTGCCAAAAAAACAACACGATTTGGGGAGAAGGGTGCGGAAACTTCCAGGCTTGGAGTGCGCATCTTATTTTGTTTCTGTGATGGGCCTCTTGATGCTGAAGTTGGCAGGTAAAGCCGCGCAATGGGCATGATTTCCAGAGGTCATCCACTTGAAGGAACACCAAAAGGAATGATCCAGAATTCAACAGAATCTACCCGACTCGACCAGTCTCTCTGTCGCATCGATGTGTCTTCGCCCGCTCCCAAACGCCGACGGGACGCGGGACGTCTTCTCCGTCTGACGTCGCACCTGGGCATCCTCTTTCAGTGGCTTCGCAAAGGTGCTGTTCAGTTGGCTCACGAGCCTTGGTGAAGAAACAGATCACACAGCGGAAAGGTCGTCTCCGTCACGTCACGAGGAAATTGTCGTGTGCGGTCGTCGTGGGGGGAGTTGGGAGGGGGTGAGTTGGTCGTCCCGCAGAAACTCAGACACCTGGAAAGAACCATGTTTCGACTGTGCGCTGCAGGGTCAAAACGTTTTGATGTACTGATGCCAAGCAAGTGATGCTCTTCCGGCAACCAGTCTGAAGCATCAAGAAACATTCTTGAATCTTGAAGCACTTGCCAATCTGTGGGAACATGGTGAACTCCACCTTGCGGCCTGCAATATGAAATAGCTAAAACATCACCCTACAAGTCCAGTCTGACCCAGTATAACCTGCTCTTCTACCTCCCTTTTCGTAGTGTTTTTGTATGTTGACCTGTAGGGTCATTAGTGCACTCTCTTGGAATTGGACGCCCTTGTTCTTCTCGTTCTCGTTAGGTGTCAAGCCCCGCTCTTGATTTCCCCAGGCCGGGGAGATCAAATATTCTGCATTTCGATGCCCTGCTAGCGGAAGACGACGTAGTCACAGTCGTGCACTCTAAAAAAGAAACACGAAAAGGCTGTCCGATGTCGTTGCACGAGGCGTGAAAGTTGGTACCTGTCCATTTTCACAATAACAGCATGTTCTTATTGTTTTGAATCAGGGCAACCTCTTTCTTCTTCCTGTTAACAGTTCCTTTTTCTGTGCTTGGACAACAATAACACTTTGTTTTTAAGAACACGTGCCTTAAACACACGGCTGTGTGGGGGCGTGCTACCTTGGTTTTGGATGTTTTTGATACAGGACCGGGACGGCCGAGGTACCACCCAGGATGAAACAGGAATGTAGGCCTAGGGCCCAGACATGAGCCTCTGCTTCAATAGGAAGTTAGCCCATACTTTTGCCTGCTTGGTGGTCGAAAATAGGGGTATATAGAGGCCACTCAGGTCCAAGTATAGGCATGTTATTCCATATACATATTCAATGTCATTCATATTCCATCCAGTGCAGGGTTCCCGGGCTTCTTCACCAGACTTTCGGCTTCGATCATGCGCGCCTAGCGACCAAGCCGCAGTCTGGACTGGGTGCGAGGAAACCAAGGGCGTCGGAGTCATGCAAGTTTGGTTTCGTGCGTTGTTTGAAGACTGGGCATTTGCCCCGCACGATATTTGTGATTTTTTTTCCGGAAAGTAGACACATTCCCCTGTATTTCCCAGTACAAGAGAAGGGCCCTCCGGTCCATTCAGCCGTACTTGAACACGGCTGGGACATGGCGGTCCACCCCAATCTTCTTGGCCTCAATTCAGAGACGTGACTGGATTGATCCCTCGGCCGTCCCCAAGCCTTGTCTTAGCCTTATCCCCCCCAGTGCTGTGCTGTGAAGCACCTTCGGGACACCGGTCCTTGCGGCCTCAATCTAACGCGCTCCGACCAAACGGTCCTTCATCAAGTTCGTGGATTCCGTAATGCTTTGGTCGATACCTCAGCCGGTTCCCCCGTGGCCGAGAAGCCGCGCGGTGCGTTAGCACGCCGCATGATTCGGCACATCGAGACGATGGAAAGTGGAGATGGAAAGTTGGGGACCCTGTCGAAGCGGCCCAAAGCTTGATGCAATACTGGGGACTCGATGAAGAAGTCCAAATTACTAAAGACGATTCACATCGGTGGTGCTAGATCAAGTCAAAAACTATCTATACTGGTGACCGCCATCATCTTTGAACCCGGTTTTAAGATCTTTCATGTGTTCCCAACGATCGCCCCCGATCGCCCCGGATACGGGCGATGCGCATCCCGAAGCGTCCCGAGACTCGGAGAGTCAACTGGTAGCCTCTTGGCACAACCGGTCCGGTGGACCTTCAGTTGCATGATGAATCAGTGCAGAATCGTGTGGTGTCCTGCATCAAGGAGTGAATAATATGATAATTATATGACATGTCATGCATCAATGAGCCATTTTTCCAGCACTTCGCATGCTCTGATATGCCCATGTCCGGCCTAGTCAAGGGTTCGCCGCGTTCGTCGCGTTCGTCAAGTCGATGCGTTCGTCCACCGTGTGAAGCCGTGGAGCCGTGGTCCATAGGAGAGAAGACTTGGGTGTGTATTTATATACCCATGAGACCTTGTAGAACCACCACAAAGATCAGACTAGAAGCTAGCCAGGCTAGCCACTAGCCCTTGAAAAAAACCCTATAAGAATCATTGGACCCTCCGAACTGGAGGGTTTGGACCCTGCAGCACGCAGGGGTTTGGATCCGAACCAAACCTTCACCGAACGGGTCGGGTCCTTGATTCTTAGGGTAGATTTATCTAGGGAGACACGCCCCTTCTTCCCGCGGGGCTTTAGGAGGTCTCCCTGTTTATATAATACTTCTCATATTGACCGATCAGGCCAGGGGTGGTGCCAGGGGGGATCAGTGGATCGGCAGTCCTATGGCAGTCCCATGGAGTGTCTGCGTAGTAACAAACCACAAGCGGCTCAAGAAGTGTCTCCCGGCAGCTGTCGCTTTTTCAGGCCTGCTGGTCGTGCCCAGGAGAATTCGGGAGGAGGAAGCATGACTTCGGTGAATCCTCCCAAAAAAGGCCGCTTTAGGAAAAGCACAATTAGGGTTTGGGGTTTAGAATCGAAAAGCAACCGTAACCGTAAGTTATTGATACTGTGTTTCATTGTGTTTCTATGTTCTTTTTTTCACCTTTATACTTGGACTTGAGTGAGGAACCCCCCAATCCCCCCAAACCAAAGACTCAAGACGGCATTGTGCTCAACACCCGCTTCGTACTTAGTAGGTCCATGGTCCCACCCACTAGGGACCTCTGCCACCTCCCTTCCCACCCCGCTGCCAAGCCCAGTGACTGCTGGCGATCGCCTCTAAGGACCTCTCCATGTTGCTGGAATGTGCCTCTAAAGATGCCTCGCCCGTGCACGTCAGACACGTTCCGCGTGAGAGGTGGCTTTCGCCGTGGGTTTCGGCACACCAGGTTAGTCGATTGGGTTTAATTGGGTCTGTCTCTGTTTCAGCTTCCTAGAATCCCAGCAAAGACTGCAACCAATGCAAACATATTTACAAAAGAACCATATCATATATGTTGTCATCTTGGCTCATTCCACCCAACCCGAGGGAAGCTCCTCGAATCCTGTCTCTGTCGGATCCCCAAAGCATTCCCCCCAAAAAAAAGGTTTGCCAGTGACTGCCAGTGGAGAAAATCGATGTCTTCCGAGCCGAAAGCATCCGAGCACGACTTCAATGCTATAAGGCTAGAAGCGTCACACACTGGCGCGCTGGGCGGACTCGAATTCGGGGAAAATGGTCTCGGATTCTTCTGCGGGCTAGTATTAGGGTTCACGCTTGAAAGGAGGAACCCAATCCTAAAGACCTTCTCAGAAGTGGAACTGTATACTTTCTGGGCACTTGCACTCTAACTCTGAGACGGTCTCAACTGCCACTGTCCTTTCGCATGTTCTGCTTTCCATGTCAACTCGTCTACGAAAACAACTCCCATGATCCTTCCCACCTTCCACAGGTGCCACACGGTGCCATTTCCCAAACCCATCGGTCTAGCGAACTGAAGAACCGGGCCTCCTGCTGCTGACGTTCCTTCAACAAGATCTGCTCCAAGCCTTCAGCCTTCGCCTGCGATGGAAGTGGGAAGCAGGCGGCTTCGGGCGGTTTCGGCCGAGTTCGCAGGCGCCTGGCGACAGGCCGACGGGGGTCGATGTCCTGAAGCTTCCCCCTTTGGGTCTTTGACTCGTGGGAAAACGCAAGGAATGAGGGAATGAATCCAAAGGAGTCTCCAGGACTTGGGCGAAACTTCCCGCGTTCGCTTGCTAAACACCAGTCAGTTCATTGGGAAGTCTCCCGGAGTCTGAATGCACATCCACGTGGGAGACCCTCCCTGATCCTTCACAAAAATCAACATGTTCACCTTTCCACATGTTCACTCCCCTTTCAAGGACGTCAACCATCCCACTTGCCGTTGTGACGGTGACGCTGTCGCTTTTCAACTCCTTCAATCAACAGCCCATGCGGAAAAGCAACTCTTGCGGCCGGACGGCGGCCGGACAAAAGGGAAATAGAGGGTTTGTTCGACTTTGAATCGGTGAAGGATCTCCTTCTTTCATCTTCCCTTCAACCTCCTCCTCCGTCCCAAAACAAGGGTCTGTTTAGATCCCAATTTCCAACTGGTTGAAATTGAAGAACCTCCATGAAAACACTCCAAGGCTCTCCTTGGAAGGACACCTTGGGGTGCACGTCATGTCTAGAGAATTTGGAAACAACACACGTCAACATGCCTTTATGGTTGGGAAAGCAAAACCATTGGACCATGCGTTGACTTGCGTGGTGTCAGAAAGAAAACTATCCGAAACGCATCCAGCCGCGCCACACCATTGCAGAGTTGAGGTAGTGGAACCCGTATGGTAGTGGAGGGGTTTTCTAAGAATGCCGGGGATTCTGATACAAACAACCTACGCCAATCCCATGACTGGTGAGTTTGGATGGTTGTCATGTAGGCCATCTTGCCCCCAGAGCGCTTGGGCTAAAAAAGATGAAGAAGAACTGAATTCAACAAAGATATACAAAGATACCAAAAGCCCTCAAAGTGTCTCCACACACCCGATGGCATGTAGAGCCATGCCAGGATGCCGCGTTCAACAGCAAGCACCCCCTCTTTTCATACAATCCTTTCAACTACAACAAGGTTCAACTACTAAAACTTGATGATGAGAACATCTCCGAACAACCCGACTGGTCCCCATAGGGATTGGGTAGGGCCGGACCCCTCCATATGAAGACTTCGCTTCCTTTTCGCTCCACACCCTGTGACCGTCGTTTCCACACCACAGCCCCACCGATGGACTAAAGACCACCGCCGAGCTCGCCTGAAGAGCCTCCCGACTCTTTTGCATCTCCTCCAGCTCTTGGGTCCACTGCTGGATGGGAATCTGGCGGACTCGGTGAAGTCACCCCAGCCCGAGGCTCGGCTCGTAGCGATGGCGAGGTGACGTACTGAAGGGAAACCGCGGGGGAGTGGCTGGGACCCGGATGGGGCCAAAATGATCCCTGAAGTACGACAACCTGATGCAGCGGAACCTAACAGCTGCAGCACCCGGACTCACATGACTTGAAAGGAAGCCAGTGGGAGGCAAGCAGGAACACGTGTTGGGAGGTGATGAACTCGTGACAGGAGGTGACAACATGCGCATTCAGGGCGTCATGCAAGTCAAACAACTCTTGATGGAGAAGCTCATAGCAACACGAAAGGGACCCCACAAAAGCAATTATGTAACTCTCAAACCTGACACCTGTAAACAAGCAGTGCTTTGGGTTGTGCCATGTTGTAGAGGATGGAGGATGGGGGTTCTTAGTTTCCTTTCTTCCATCCCAAAGGGAACACAAGGTCTTCGAGGATCGTTTTCCCTCATCCCAACACCGCCCAACATGTCTTTCCCCTCCGACGCCTTTGGCTGAGGGAGCCTGCGGAGCCATGTCTATGTGGGTGCCAATGTGGGCGCTTTCTTCCTTTATTCTTTTTCTTTGTTTCTTTAAGCGATGGCCTCCAACCTACTGGGGATGGCCTCCACCTAATAGCGATGGCCTCCACCTCCACCACGGTCAAACACGGAGGTCTTTTTCCGCTCAACCTCTTCAACTGGTCTTTCCGTGTCTTTTCGTGCGTTGGCCCACCTCTCTTTCAAGTGGAGATCCACATCCTTCAACTTCGTCTCCATGGACCTCACGGCTTCATCTGAAAGATGTGAGGCACCGGGGCTGTTGGAGGTTCCAACAGATTCTTCAAGCCCCGAGATGTCACGAGGACGTCCTTCTAACGTCGTCGAGTCAAGTCGAAGGAGCTCCCTAAGAATCGGCGGCCGCCGGTTTGGGGAAACACACACACACCCCTGCTGTGTACCTCAGTAATCCCAAAAGTAGCTCGTAACGTCAAAGAATATATGCGACACATGCTGAAAAGGAGCTTAGCCAGCCCGAATGGGGTCCAATGGGTGGCCGAACCCAATGGTTGGATTCCGTAGGTCATTGTGGATTAACACACTCCCCTAAGAATCGATCCTCCGAACTGGAGGGTTTTGACCCTGCAGCACGCAGGGGTTTGGACCCGAACCAACCCTTCAAAAGTAAAGTGTTAAATAAACATTGTTCTCACATAGCTTTGCCAGTTCGGAGTAGGTGTCATCTTCATCCAACTGTTGACTGGCCACTCCAAAATAGAGTTATCTAAGCTCCCCCAAGCAAAATAGATCAAAATAGCTATACGCCGTCAGTGAAAACAAGCTCCCCCAAGACCATCCTTAGAGGAGAAAGTCCACCTCACCTCTCCTCTGCACCTCTCCTCCACCTCACAGCCGTGTCGGTCGCCCGGCAGAAGCCGCCGGTGCATCTCCTGCTCCTTGGCCGTTGCGCCTGGTCAACCGAGGTGGAATCGGATCGGGGACGGACCATGGACCTTCGCCCTGTGCCGGTGGAGAGCGAAAAGAAACAAAACACAGCCCGCTGTCCAGCAGGTTTGAGCTAAACTTTGAGCGGCTAGCAGTCGGAAATCCCAAAGCAAAAAAGGCTGAAGATGGACGAAGGGTCTTTAAAAAAATCCTATATACTTAGTATTAAGTATGCCTAAACTCGGACAGTCATAGGTTTCCAAACGAAACCCACCAAACCGTCCACCCTCTTCGTTTTTTTTCTCCGATCGCGGCGACATCCGAAGGCGAAAAAAAACCAGAAGTCACCCAAACCCTCGGTCGGATCCCCGACGGCGTCGTCCGGTGGTGACTGGTGGCTCCAACACCCAACATATCCCAGACACTCCATGTATGCCATATATGCCTACACTGACCCCCCGAACCACCCCAATGTAGGTAAATATACCACACATGGAGTGCCTGGGTATTGCCAGTGTCCCATGAAATTCGGAGTGTCTGCTCGGCGTGTTGGCACAGCGCCGAGAAAACGGCCATTTGGGATGTGATTAGGAGTGATTACGTGCTGGATACATCTGCCAGTCCCATGAAAGGAGTGTCTGCTCGGCGTGTTCTGGATGGCTGTAAATAGCACAGCGATTTGTAAAAACAACTCTTTTGGACCAAAGCTTCGAGGTATCAAGGAGTGAAAAAGTTTCTGTAACCTCCCGTCACTTCCCGTCACTACGTCGTCGCATCGCTTTTGAGGCTCAGACCTCCCCCTGCGGTGATGGACTCAGCCCAACCTCATTTTGCTGGCAAATCAAATATCCCAGTATGCAACATGCACGCTTGCACATGCTTGCATGATGTGTGAAGACCATTCTCAATTGCTTCCCTCTGTGCAGCGACAAACGAGTTCCTAAGGTCCTAAAAGTCCAGAGTTTCTGTGTTGTCTTCCCTCCGCCCACCCGTCTGGTGGCTCCCCCGGGCCGCGGCCTGCAGATGATGGGATGGAGGTGGCCTCAGAGACGTGACCGTTGTCACTGCCACCCTGTGAACGATGCTCTCGGGCACTTGGGAGAGGTCGAAAGCTCTGTTTTCCGGGACCAAGCCTACCAGCTGCTTCCAAGAGGTCACCAACGGATATCTCCACACTACATACTGGCTGTGCTATTTTAGCTTGGTCAAAGTCGCTCCGCATGCTTTTTCTTGCAATTGCTCTTGTGAAGCGCGAACAGTCTTTGTTTCGCACAGTGAGACAAAGTTTTTGCAGCGTAGAATATTCTTCTGCAGCATTCTGCTTGAGTTTCTTATTCCTATTTACAGTTCCCGTGGCTAAACAAGTAGCCCAAATATTATGCTTGCTTATATAATCCATGTCTCCACAGCGGTTTGACCTTGAGCTGGAATCAGTTCTCAAAACACAAGACATGCAGCATATGCAGCTCACGCAACTCACCCTCACTGACGCAGGGCTCCGACCCTCGCGCTGCCTGCGTCTGCTGCGACAGAGTTGAGCCGGCTAAACTACAACTGTTCCGAGTACGGTCCTGCAAGCCTTTCGCATGAAAACATTGAACATGAATCCAAAGTGCACTGGCCTTGTGGGTCGTTGTCTCAGGAAGTTCGCGTAAGGTACCTGAAGAGAAGGCAAAGAACGAGGAAACTTCCGACGTTGTTTGCCCAACCTCACCAGTCTGCAGGCCCAGGTCTCGCGCCTACAGGGAGAGTAGAAACTGAGTAGAAACGGCTCAACCCGGCTCAGCAATTCAATCTTGCCTCGACCCATGCGTCGACGCACCGCTGCGTTGACGGTTTTCCTTCGTAGGAAGTCAAGAGGATCGTCGCACATCTTCCGCTATTTTTTGGCCTGCCCTACTTCTTCTGCAAGGCTTCCTTTGCTTCATCGACCGTTGAGCTTGCCCCTACATGAGAAGGGAAACATATCCTCCACATTTGACTTCCTCAACCGACACTTCTGAGTCACAGGCCATTCTGGGGTCATCATTTGTGAACATCAAAGCATGAGCTGAACATCTCGGCAGCCTCCACGCGATGAAATCGATGAATGCTTGACAAACAAACGCACATCACATAATTACACATGTGCAATCATTTGGCTGCAAGATCTTCTTCTGTGGAGTCTTCAATGCCAACCCCAACCTTGCCCCAACCCCGCCTGCGGTCGCTTTCCACTTTCTTAACTTGAAATGGCTTGCTCCAAGTGTACCTTTTCAAGCCGGCTCCAGGCTCCAATCTGGACTTGCATTTCAAGTCCCACTGCCCAATCGCTGCGGAAAAGGACTTCTGCTTCTGCTCGTTTCATTTCCAGGGCGCAGGTCCAGCATCAACGCTCTAATGTCAAAACATGCATTAATGAAACTGGAAAGCTTTTTCTTCTCAAGAACAACAATCCAACAACTACCAAAACATGTGGAAATACATGCCCAAACGTGCTCAGCAAAAATGTGTCTGCTCTTTCTTGAACCTCATTCCACTAGCTTACAGCAACTATCCTCTAGCAGCCTGTCTTGCAGCTTCTTTTGAAACCACTTTCTCAGAAATCCAATCAAAAGCGCCTTCCTCACCAACCACTTGTGTGGCCACCCTGTGCAAAATCTAGGGAACCTCTTCATCTAACATGTCCGCCAAGATTGCCTTTTGCAGGCTTTGAATAAACTGCTTCAAGAAAAGCCCTGAGTTTCACATAATTGCCTGGTCTTCTTGGCGGAAGAAGCAAAGGGCAAAGGCACATGGGCGTTGAGGAGCAATAAGGAGTCAGAATTGCGCACCTGCTATGATTCGGACAAATGTACAGAAACAAATTCAACATTCATTTCGGCCATTGCTCAGCATGCCCATCAAATGTCAAAAGAATCAAAACTGCCATCGCTCATGGCTGCTTCCACTCACCTGCCGTCTTTCACACCTGCTTCCACTGTCCAGGCGGCATGGTCACCGGCTTTGAGCATACCAAAGCCAAGCCATAATCGCAAGGCATCAGAAGGAGTCCGGTGAACTTGGACTTGCACATCACGATCATCTTTCCAGCCTCCGCTGGCTTCAACACCTTGGTGGAAATGGCCCATAGCCGAGCAGGCTCTTTCTTGATGGCATCCTGGGCCTGGATGGAATGCAACGATTCATGAAACACCCAGCTGGATGGCTGCAGAGCGTATTCTACTCCATTTGCCGGCAGCTCAACACCTCGAACAACGTTTCCATCGGTCAATCTGGAAAAGACCGTGCCCTTGGTGATCCTTTTGTTTTTGGTGCGTGCTAGGTCCTGTCTCAGACATCACCAACTTTGAAGCTATTGCGCTCACCAAGCTCTACTAGCGGAGGCGAAGAGGCAGCGGGAGCACCACCTGGAACAGGCCCAGAGCTCTCAGGCTTCTCAGCCTTCGGCTTGTCCAACTCCATGGTCGCCTCCTTTTTCGGGGTCTCCTGAACAGTGTCCTCAGTTTTGGCCTTCTTTGCATCTGGGTTTGGCGGCGTCTTTGAAGCTTCTGGCTCGCCCCGTTTCTGAGGCGTGATCTGGTCAGGTTCACTCTGTGTCATGCCATCATTGCTCCAAGAAAGGGTGCTTTTTCGTCAGGAGGCTTCTGTGTGAGGTCATAACGAGGCGCATAGTTCAGGACGATAGGACCAGCTATGCCTGCACGAGGGCAAAGGCTAATTTATTGTCAGTGCAGTTGTACAGCTCCAGGACGTGTGTGTTGTTCTTTTGTTTTTTTCAAATTTTGTTTGGAATGTCTTATGCAGGTTCGCTCTCTGCTTTCCTATTATTAGCCTACAAGTGGTCCAATTGCACAAAACGGTGCGCTTGACAAGTGAAACTGTTTTTTGAGCGTCAAAGAAAAGTCAGCTAAGTCCGCCACGGCAAACAGAATTTCTTTGGGAAACAACTGAAAGAAAATAAATAGAACTTTTTTCTCCAGGCCCGGCCTTGTCCAGTTGCTGTCTGGCAAATGATCTTCAAGAAACTCCTGGTCGAGCCACTGGTACAATCCATCTCGATGACGCAGTTTGGAAACCTTCGGATCCCAAGATAAGGTAGTGGTTGATGTAGGGCCGCCCCCATCAGCACCGCGTACACATCAACCTTTTCGCCATCCTTGGCAACGTTTCTAACTCGCACCACACAATCAGCAAAGCGACTGTTGCCTTTCTGCTGCAAGACGTCCTGCACCTTGTGGATGTCCGTGAAGCGCATGCCGTGGCACAGACAGATGACTTCTCCGTCCTTCGCCGTTCTCCTCGGACTGTGCTGCTCAAAAAAACCTGCATCAGCCAGATCATATTTCGCGTCATCATCACCCAGAAACGAACTAAACTTGGAACTGGGGTTGGCAAAGGCCCAAGCTCCCATCTGCAAGCAAAGCCAAAATTCTGGTTGGCAAGTTGGTCCAAAAGGCCTGCCCAGGGGTCTGCATCACAGTCAACCTGGAGGTCAAAAAGCTGGATGGAAGAGCTGAGCTGGGAAGCGTCTGGCCCAGCAATGAACTGCAGACTACCTTGCTTCTGCTTCAGAGCTGCTTGGTCTGGGGTTATCTCATTGAACTTAGCGGCTGCCATGTACTTCAGAAAGATGCCCCGGCCATGCTGAAGGCTGTGCTCCGATACCCGGTTCAAGAACACCACCATGTCTTTCTGCACGGTCCTCAATGAAAGTGGCAACGCGTAACTATAGAAGAAGTCAAAAGCAATCAAAACCCGGCGCTGCTGACACTCTAAAACCTAGAACAGCAAATGTTGCGCACGGCCCGCAGGCAGAACGCACCATGAAAATACAAGATCAAAACCAAAACTCATGTTTTCTTCTGGCCCGCCTGGCCGCAATCCATCCTGATGGATGCCCCGTTCAAGTCAAAAGGACAAGAGAGTCCACTTTCAACACTGAAGGGAGCTGGAACAAGGGCTCGTAGAACTTGCTGGGTCTTGCAAATGGGAAGTCTGTCCTGACGTGCTCCATTCTTCTCACTCAAGCCATCGATCTCCGTCTTGCTTCGGAGCGGACATGAGCGGCTCGATGGATTGTTTTTACTCTTACCCATATAATGAATATGTCATATCTGGGTCGATCTCTTTGGCTCATACTATATACTTCCAATTCTCATGCTTAGCTTCAGCGCCGTTTATGTATAATGCGATCGTCGGATTAATCAACGGCCCCCCCCCCCTAGAAGGTCAACAAGGTCAACAAGGTCTGAGATTGGAGGTTTTGGAGATCACATCCCCCTAATAGTGGGGATGACCTGATGATGACAGGAGGAGGAGATGAGATGGGATGGAATGATGAGATCCATGAGAGCCCAAATACTAATTCCCTTTCATCATGAGATCCATGAGAGCTTATTGGCACAAATTTGATGAGAGATCTGAGAGATCAGAGCCATGCCAACTGGATCAAAGCATATTAGGGCTTGGTGGAGGAATGGGCGATGGAGGCTCTATGTGGTGAGAGTGGATGCCTATTCTGGATGGGCAGATTGGTGGCCTGTTGAGGATTGGTATGATTTGATGGCCTATGACACCCAATCTGAGAGAGATTGGCACATTGCCAATGAGTATAGGGAGATGGGCCTTCCAATATGGAGGAGGAGGAGATGAGACTGGAGCATGCATTGGAAAATTGGAATGAAAGGGAATTAGTATTTGGAAGAATTGAGATGAAAGGGAATTAGTATTTGGAAGAATTGTAATGAAAGTGAATTAGTATTTGGCAGAATTTTGGAAGGAAAGGGAATTAGTATTTGGAAGAATTGAAATGAATGGGAATTAGTTTTTGGAAGGGTTGGGATGAAAGGGAATTAGTATTTGGAACCTGCTGAGCACACCATTGGTTCCATGATTCATGGGCATATTTTGGCACAAGCTATTAGTTTGGGTGGGTATTGGTGAGGTATTGAGCCATGGTGCACTCAGCAGAGGGGATGACCAATGAGCTGTTGAGCTTGGGTGGTATCATGAGAAGCCATGCGCTGGGCAATGTATGGGTGATCATTGAGGGTATGCTGG